ACTGCCAAGCACTATTTTAGGTCATTTTCTAATATAGTAGATGGAGGGAAATTCTACAAGGATAATAAGCTTAAAAACAATTGACTACATTTCAGTTCTTTTTATGTGATGTGTAAATGTGAAACAAATGAAAACACTTTTGAACAATACAAATATTTGAAAATTTAGCTGACTGATAATGTCCTTTTTTTAGATTTAGATATTATCACTCTGAATGCCTTAATGAAATAATGATGATATTGGGCCAGTGCCATAGGCTAATCCTCTGGTCAGGGCGCCGGTTCTGTCCCGGATGCTCCTCTTTCTGTCCAGCTCTCTGCTATGGCCCAGGAAGGCAGTGGAGGATGGCCCAAGTCTTTGGGCTCTGCACCCGCATGGGAGACCAGGAGAAGCACCTGGCTCCTGGCTTTGGATCAGTGCGGCGTGCCGGCCGCAGCGGCCATTGGGGGTGAACCAACGGAAAAGGAAGACCTTTCTCTCTGTCTCTCTCTCTCACTGTCCACTCTGCCTGTCAAAAATAATAATAATAATAATGATATTGGAGAAGATTCTACTGCTTAGATGATAAATATAAAAGTAAGGGCTCATCTTGAACTTATTATATAAGGATAGACCTGGCCTACCTATAGTTAAAATAGCCACATTTAACCATTAATTTTTAAATTCTTCAATTCTAAGTAACTATGTACAGAGTTTTAAAATATTTAAATCCACCTAGCTTTTTTTTAAATGTTAAATGAATTTGAAGTTGAAACTATGAAGAATGAAAAAAAGTTTGTGTTCTCCACAACAGACAGAAGACTAAATTTGTTTTCCTAATAAGGCTTTGTTGAATGCTGGAGTGCTTTATTCCCTTAGTTTTACATAAAATGTAATTTTATTTTACAAAAAAATGTTTACAATTTAGTGTTTAGCCTGGACAATTGTAAAGAGACTTGTCTGCAAAAGTTGATCGCACAGTTATGCCTCCAATGGGAGCATAGGGCAGAGAACAGTGTAAATGTGAGCCTCAAAGAGCATGTCTCATGCTTTGAAAAGTAGAGAACAAATTAGATATTCTGCTATTTTATACTTGATTTTTTGTTCATCTTGATATATTAAAGATGTGGTGCAGCTTTTAGTCCTTCTGTAAATAGGCTTATATAGTTCAAATATATATTTAGCCTAATTTATACCTCAGCATGGAGATTTGTATTTAACTCCTTCAAAATGAAATACTCACTCTCTCTCATGTTATTCTTCTTCATAGCAGTTACCATTATTTGAAACTATCTTATTAGATTGCTTATTATCTACTTCTTCCATTAGAATATGGATTCTAGGCAGGGAACTTCTTTTACTTGTTTATCAGTGTATCTCTAAACCCTGAACAATGCCTGAGGCTCGATAAATATTTGATAGATGAACAGATGAAATGGTGATCTCAAGTAAAAGATGTCAGTGACATATACAGTTGTCCCCCAAGGTGATCAGTAGAAAGGTTGCAATAGTAAAGGTGGTACTGAGTGAACTTCAACCATAGAAAATAAAGCAGTTTTCCATATAAAGCAGTACATGGTAGAAGGAGTCACCAAGGCATGAAAGGAAGAGATGTTTAATAAGAACCTAATGTTTTTTTCTCCTGCTAGGTGAGATATATATTGGCAGTGGGGTACATTTGTGTGGATATAGATGTCAAATTTATTAGTGGTCCAAATTTATTTAATGTTATTAGAGTTTATTTCTGAAATTTGAACAGAACTTGTATACTGTTTGTAAAGCCTTGAATTCAACAGTAGTAAGATCTCAATAAATGGTAACTGTAATTCTGATCCTAATGCTTTGATTATTTGTAACAATGGCAAACACTGAATCTTTTAAAATTTAGCCTCATATACTACTCACCTACCCCAAGCTGTTTTCCTAGTGAAAATAGTTAACTGTCTGGGTCAAGAAAGCTCAGAAAAGTTCCTCCTTCCCTTCCTCCCTCCCTCCCTTCCTTCCTTTCTTAGTCTCTTCATACATCTACTAACACTTTGGTTTTATTTATAATTGATGAAAGTTCCTTCTCAAACCCTAATCACCTGCTATGTCCACCTGGAAAGCAGCATTACAGAAAAGCACACATCCTTACCTAGAGAAGTAATTATCACGTGGTAACTGTCTGTTATGGGAGTATCAGGGCCATACCTAATTTAGAACCAAGCACACGCACAGGGAAACCTAGGTGCTCAGATGGCCCATTGCAGTTGCCCTGCTTTCTGTTCTCTTTTCTTGTTTCTATTAGTCTGCAAAAAGCCTGTCCAACTTTGGGTTATTGCTTTCTCTTCGTTGGGGGGAAAGAAGTCTCCTTTATTAGTTCCTGTAGTGATAGAGAACAGGCAAAGAGAAGGAGAGAGGAAGTAAGTATGTGAATATATGTGTGTAGTTGGTATAGTCTTACAAACTAAAAACTCCTATAGTATGCTAATTATAGGCACTACTTTGTACTTTTCTTTATAAAAATATCTACATATTCTCAAATCATTTAGGGAAAAACCACTGACACTTTGCCAAAAGTGATTTAAATGTTGAAGGTCTGAGTTTTTGGAACAATAGACTGAACATGCCATAAAGTATAGGGAAGCTGTTTAAAGAGGCATCCTTCTTCACTCTTGAATGCTCACTTTTTTCCCCCTGGAGTTGCTTTGTTATTATAAATTGACAACTTTGCAATTAAAGTGATTAATGATGTACCCTGGTGTTTATGGGTCCTAAGGTCAGTGTGCCCAAAGTTGGCCATGCTGTGGGAAACTTAGAATTCATTCTGCAGAGGGTGAACCAAAAAACTTCCTCTTTTTTGAAAATTGTTTATGAATTAAATATATTAGATATGGTTGAAGGAGTCACCAAGACCTAATGAGTAATGTGAATAATTTTAATCAACCGTTTTTTTGCCTAATTCCTCATTCTTAAATACTGATGTGAACATAGACTGTTAACCTAAACTTGCTGTTTTGTAAAGTATTAGAAAAATTCATTAATGAGGTAAAAGTGAACTTAAACTTAACATTATTCATGGGTGTTCATAGAATGTAGTTTCCCTTGATCCTTTTGAAACTAAATCTTGATAGAGCCATTGCTTGTTTATGAGATTCTTTTTCCCTATGCATTGTTCCCACCATGATGTCACAATTCTTGTTTTTGATGGAATCCATTATAATTTAGCACTCTATTCATTTGTTCAAGAAGCTGGTTGTAATCCATCAGGAATTTTTTTTTTTAATTTTGGATGCTACTTTTATAAAGATCAATCAATTTTCAAACAGAGTGTTCTCTCCACACTCTTGACAGCTTTGTTCTTTGAATTCCATGAGCTGAGGATAGCACTGGGCAAAGGTTCTGATGTCTCACCATCAGGGTTTACTCTGGTACAGTGGCTTCACACTAGGGGTAGAGAGAACAATGAGCAAATTGTTGAGTTCCTGGCACTAAGCCATCACCAGGATTTCTGCTGGTTTCAAACTCACACACTACACAAAAGTGGCTTGTGATGATCATGGTAGTTCAAAGGGAAATATATTATCCCTATGGTGTATTTGCAAAGATTTGAAGAGGAAAATGTGGGGTTTTAAAAATAATTATACCTCAGTGTTTAAAATTGTTCATTTATTTGAGTGTCCTTTAAAAATTAACTACTTTCGTGTGATCAGTGACATCGCTAAAGAAAAGGAGCAGATGCTCAGTATAGTATTGGAAGAAAAGGACAGCTATCACAATGTTAATTTTCAGAAGTGGTTCTCCTTACTCGTGTGTTAGATTTTTTCCCCCATAAAAGATTAGAACTAGACTTATTCCACTTTAGTAAAGAAAGTAGGATATTCCTCCTTCATCATTGACTAGACTAGGCTTATAGTCTTTGGGTATCACATTAAAAATAAAGTTTAAGAAAATACTAGTTTTTGGCCGGCGCCGCGGCTCACTAGGCTAATCCTCCGCCTTGCGGCGCCGGCACACCAGGTTCTAGTCCCCGTTGGGGTGCCGGATTCTGTCCCGGTTGCCCCTCTTCCAGGCCAGCTCTCTGCTGTGGCCAGGGAGTGCAGTGGAGGATGGCCCAGGTGCTTGGGCCCTGCACCCCATGGGAGACCAGGAGAAGCACCTGGCTCCTGCCTTCGGATCAGCGCAGTGCGCCGGCCGCAGCGCGCCAGCCGTGGCAGCCATTGGAGGGTGAACCAACGGCAAAAGGAAGACCTTTCTCTCTGTCTCTCTCTCTCACTGTCCACTCTGCCTGTCAAAAAATAAAAAATAAAAAAAAAGAAAATACTAGTTTTAAAAGAAAAGTCATATAACAAAAGGTTTGGAGAATTTGAAGGATGGTAATATATTGGTAATATATTTCTTTCCCTTAATTTTAGCCACTTGAAGGAAACAGTCGAATTGTATACACAGATTTTTTTTTCCTTCTTTCCTATTCTTTCCCTTACAACCCATTACTGATGATCTTTTAAATGCCATACACTCTACTGGCACATGGTCATTGCCTTTACTGAAATTACACTCTAAAATGAGGAAGAATTTATAATTTATCTTTACCATAGAGATAGATTAACTTGCATAAGTACTTATGGACATAAAGACTCATTCAGTTACTCATTCAACCAGAATGTATTCAGTATAGTGTCTTCACAGAGAGACCCAGTCATGGGAAGGGCAGGTGCTATTGGATCTAGAGATTCAGATTACATTGTTGGGGAACCGCTCAAACACCAGAAACAACTTCATTACACTTTCCTTTTAAGGTGGGAATAGTCTGAATTTAAAGAGTAAGCACGGGTGCATTAGCAAACAGAATTTTTGTTTGTCTTTCCTCAACTGAGTTGCAGCCTTTGACTTCTGTGAATTAAGAAGATTGTGAATAGTCAAAACTATGAATTATGGGACTACTAATTCTAATGATTTCATATGTAAGGTATTTAAGAATAAAACTTCCATTAATAAGAAGTTCACAAAAATTCATGATTTTTTTTTCTTTTTTCCTCTAGAGCATCTGCCACAGTCAAGCCTGAGCCAGTTCCTGTTCAAAAGGTACATTTCTAATCTAGCATTACTAGGGTGCCACGTGGTTGTGTCCCTCCTAAGACACTGTAGTTTCCATTTCTGAGTTAGGCGATACTAACACGGAACTTATAGTTTGAATACAATTTTCCTTCTTCATCTTTTGTTTAAATGATGGATAAGAAAATAGAAATCAACACCTACATAATTGGCCATTTGTAATTATACATATGTGATAAAACATTATTTCTGATCCATGTATGATCAATACTTCATGTCAAATTTCATCATTTTTTTCATTTTTAATTTGCCTGTGTTTATTCACATTTTCTGTAATGAATAGTAGTTACTGAAAATGAGTATCAAAGTATCTTTACTAACATTTCATCCAAGAAATACATTTCACAGTATTCTTGGATTAGGTTTTGGCAGTATTCCTTTTCTTTCATATAAAGCCTCAAATTCTTCCAAACTTTATTCATATATATCTGGTTTATGCTTTTTGAGGTTTTCTTTCTAATTTTATTTGGCCTTTTTCATTGATTGGCTCATTACATTGATTTGCTTACATATTAAGCTACTTATTTTTTCAAAATTAGCTTTCTTATTTATGTGACATTAGTTTGCATTTCCTATTTTCTTAAAATTAAAAATATAATAAAGTCACCATTATATGCTTTCTAAAAATTTTGTTTTTCTTTTGGGATGATGAGGTGAGTAGGGGTTTATTCTTCAATGTTGTAGATGCTTGATCTGATTTTTTTTAATCTTTATGCTTTGGGATAAAGATTTACAAACAAATTATTCTAATTGTAGGAAGAATTGATGATCATTTTATTAGATATTTTTTATTTCACTATTGGCAATGAGGAACTGTCTAAGTTTTTTTTTCCCCTCATATAACTATTAATATTGGAACAGGGGAAGAATTTTTATCACTGAGTCATATCTTAAAACATTCTGAGAGAAAACTAGAAGAAGGTTATAGGAGAAAACATTGAGTTTGTTTGGGTTACTTGCTTTTTGAAGTTTTTTTTGCCCCCAAAGTCTTGATTTAAGATAATTAATTAGAATGTCCACATTTCCGAGTTAGATAAAAATTTTCTTATTTTCTGTGTGTGTGTGTGTTTTTTTTTAATTGAAGAGTTTAAAATGTGCTCTTACTGCTGCATTAGTCAAGTAATTGCACTCTGATGAAAAATTTAAATGTTTGGAAAAGATGAAATTATAATTGAGGCTGTAGATATTTTAAAACATTTTAATTAGCAATGTTTTGTTGATTGTGCGGTATTTAAAATTTTTCCTTTGGAATATGTCTAAATTGACATTTATGATACCCTTTAGGATTTTTTATAGTTTTCTTTAATGTTTTGAAACTCATTTCAGTTTAATTGAAAAATGTGTACTTAGTGTATGTGTCTGTGTTTTGCATGTTGGGACTGGTTAGCATGCATGTTATGCTATATCAACTCATTATTTTTATATAGAAATGTGACATTTGAGCTGCTAACATGATTGTGCTTCTTTTTAAAAATCAACTGTGTGTTCTTTTCAGTGAATATATTTTGCATGTATTTGGTGTGTTTTTGTGTATGTTTATTTTTATTTTACATAGGGAGAACCTAAAGAAGTAGTTAAACCTGTGCCTATTACATCTGCTGTGTCCAAAGTCACTTCCACAACCAACATGGCCTACAATAAGGCACCACGACCCTTTGGTTCTGTGTCTTCACCAAAAGTCACATCCATCCCATCACCATCGTCTGCCTTCACCCCAGCCCATGCAGCCACTTCATCACATGCTTGCCCTCCGCCTGTGGCTGCTGTCACTCCTCCCCCATTCGCTGCATCTGGATTGCATGTTAATGCCAATCTTAGTGCTGACCAGTGTTCCTCGGCACTGAGCACTGGTAAAACTGCAGTAAATGTCCCACGGCAGCCCACAGTCACCAGCGTGTGTTCCGAGACTGCTCAGGAGCTAGCAGAGGGACAGAGAAGAGGATCCCAGGGTGACAGTAAACAGCAAAATGGGTAGGTGGCCAAGGGTGCTTTCTGCTTTTACAAAACTCTTCTTTCAGGTAATTTCCAGGAAACACCTAACGTATATCCCCTCAAATCAGTTGGTCTTTGAAGGAAGGTGAAATTTTATTTGCTTAATTAACATCTGACCTTTATATTATATACCTACAGCGCTTTCTGAAAAGCAGTTACAGGTTAATCAAAACCTAATTATGCCTTTTGACATGTTGTGAACCATGTAACAAAGCCTGTAACCTTTTCCCTCTAAGTCCTGGTTCAGCACTGAGCAGCTGGCACTTACAATGCAAGGCACCTCTTGAGCCTTTCTTCCTCAATTTTTCCATCTGTTTATTGGCTACCAAAAGTTTAAACAGTGATTACAGTTGTCAAATTATGTATGTCACCCTAAGAAGAGTGCAAATGAGCAGTTTGTAAGAAACATTTTTTTCTACCAAGCAGTCAAGAAAACAGAAAACAAGTCCACTTTTGGCTTGTGTAGATTGCTTATATGTGTTTCACAAAAGCTTAAGCTGGAATAAATTCTTTAAAAGTAGGCAGTAATGAAACAACCAACAGCAGGAAAGGATGTTTAGAAAGCATCAGAAAGCATTGTAAAGTGTTTTTTTTTTTTTCCTGAGTTGAAAGAATTTAAACCAGTCACCCTAAATATATAATATTAACAGAAGTTTTTGAAAATCTATTCTTTTTAAAAATTTTTCCCATTTTGTGGCTGTATTTAAAAAAATAATTGAAGTTGTTAACTTATTTGAACCACTGGTAGGTACTTTTTCCACAACCTTCATAAATATAGGTGGTCATTTTATTCCTATTGGAATTTAGTGATACTTTAAGGCAAATTATTTATGTAAAATCATTCTGGTCAAATTTGTTGTGACAAAAATGTGCTTTAAGAGGAAAACAAAGGGAAATAATCTGCATGTGTGATCGTTTCTAACCAATGCCAGTTCCCAGGAAAATATATAATTAAAATAATTGTGTGGATAGGGCCTTTCTATGAGATATAATCCCTTCTGAATGTTAATTCTTGTAATGAAGAGGCTATGCTTTCTGTAGCACTGCTGCCATGGCAACGTTGAGGCTTTGAAGGAGAGGGTGGCAGGGTTCCAGGCTCCTGAGGGAGAGTGAGTGTGCAGGAGCTCTGGCAGAGAAACTCCTGGATGTGCAGATGGCTTTGCCATGCTCTGGCTTCTTAAAGTCTGACGTATATATTTAAGAAAGCTCATGTCCTAAAAAGAATGTTATTTTTTCTTTCACATGAGGAAGAGAAATGGTGTGTAGTGTTGAGGTGTGTTTGACTGTCACTTTTCAGTGTGTCTATTTTAAGACAATGGACTTTCCAGTAACTGAAGTCTAGGTATCCTGAAAAGGAAGAATGCTGTGTGCTGCTTGTCAGACACAAACAGAAGTTCACTGTGTTTATTAAATTCCAGGTTCATTAGGAAAAAAGCCCATGCAAGGAAATCAGTGTCTTCACTAAATTTTTCCCCTGCTTCTTGAAATTTGTAAGTCTTATTAATGGAAAATTGGAGAAGTAAAAGCAATTGAGACAATGGAGAAGTAATGGATTTAAAATAAGTTTAAATTTCTTTTATGCACGACTTTGGTGATTAAACCTCCTCTTCTCTGTTTTCTCCTTTTTGTTTTTCTTCTTTTTTCGACAGGCAGAGTGGACAGTGAGAGAGAGACAGAGAGAAAGGTCTTCCTTTTGCCGTTGGTTCTTCCTCCAACGGCTGCCGTGGCCAGCGCCCTGTGGCCTGCGTATCGCGCTGATCTGAAGCCAGGAGCCAGGTGCTTCTCCTGGTCTCCCATGGGGTGCAGGGCCCAAGCACTTGGGCCATCCTCCACTGCACTCCCGGGCCACAGCAGAGAGCTGGCCTGGAAGAGGGGCAACCGGGACAGAATCTGGCGCCCCGACCGGGACTAGAACCCGGTGTGCCGGTGCTGCAAGGCAGAGGATTAGCCTATTGAGCCACGGTGCCAGCCAATTAAACTTCTTTGAAGCTAATTATTTTCAGGCAAACTACATAGTGCTGAAATTCAGAGCCTTTATGGGGGCTTTTTAATCAACCATAAAGTGTTTACTAAGCACATACCTGGCGTTCAGCACAGTGTAAAAAGGGATTGTTACAAGTTTAGCATAATTAACAAGCATGTTACTGCTTTGAGTTTATAAACTGGATATATTTGAAAATAGCCTGATATTGTCCAGATGTTACAACAACAAAAACTTGATTATTCTGATAACAAAAGTATGGCATATGTGAAATTCTGAGACAAATTTGTGGTACCCCTTTTCTCACTGTTGTTATGTTACAGAAATTGACAATCACACATGTCACTTGTCATCAATTTGTCATGTTAAAGAGCAGATGTTTTATGATTTTGATGAACACTTTTTTTTGTATAAGATGTCAAACTGTTTTTCTATCAGTGTCAAACTTTTTAACTCTTCTATTTCCCAGATTTTTTTTTTTTTTACACACAGGCAGAGTGGACAGTGAGAAAGAGAGACAGAGAGAAAGGTCTTCCTTTGCCGTTGGTTCACTCTCCAATGGCCGCCGCGGCCGGCGCGCTGCGGCCAGCGCACCGCGCTGATCCGATGGCAGGAGCCAGGAGCCAGGTGCTTTTCCTGGTCTCCCATGGGGTGCAGGGCCCAAGCACCTGGGCCATCCTCCACTGCACTCCCGGGCCACAGCAGAGAGCTGGCCTGGAAGAGGGGCAACCAGGACAGAATCCGGCGCCCTGACCGGGACTAGAACCTGGTGTGCCGGCGCCGCTAGGTGGAGGATTAGCCTAGTGAGCCGCGGCGCCGGCCCTATTTCCCAGATTTTATAAAGTTGCAAAAACAAAACTTTTAAAGTTGGGAGTTTTTTTTTATTACTTTTTATTTTAAAAACAGTATCAGTGACTAAAAATTTCAGAGTTCAGAGGGATATAAAGTAAAATGCATAGATGTCTTTTTCCTCAAAGCACAGGAGGACTGTCAGTCTTTAAGTGATTCAGATTGGCTACTAATTTTTAATTTGACAGACATCTCACTCACATTTTTGTAGGACTAATAAACGTAAGACACAAATAAGAATTTATTACTTAAGCATCATTCTAAGAAATAATTGGCTGTTTATCCTAATGATATGGAATCTGGAGATTATGTTGATATTTTTAGAATATGCCTTAATACCACATAAACTTTCCTGTTCTTTCTTATAAGTAATAATAATTAAGACACTTTTCTAAATTTTAAATCTTTCTTCTACATGTATAAATTACTGGCATTTGTGTGCTTTATTCTTTACTACACTTTTTATTAAGAACAAAATGGGATTTTATATTGAAAACCAGAAGGGATACTAGTAGTTTAAGTGATTTACATTTCTGTTTCCATGTGTCCTTGCATTATAATGTGCCACTGTTCTCAAGAGGTAGGTAATTTTTGTGCCTTATATTAATTTCAATTTCAATGGACTGCAATTTCTTCTAACAGTTCCTACATGGCATATTGAAGAACTTCACCTTGGAAGATACAAAAAGTAACAATGTGGTAGTAATATTTTCAAATGCTTTTCTCTTTACAGAAGACACAAGTGACAAAGTTAGTATCCACATTACTGGAGAGGAGATATGGTGATTTATATACTTGTATGAGTAAACAGCATGAATGCCCAAGTTTTGCAAAATTAAATTAAATTTTGCCAAAGTGCTATAATTTAGAATAACCACATACAGTGTTTTCGATAAGTTTGGTTTGCATTGCTGTGTTGTGGTGACTTGTTTTACAGTAATAAAAAGCAGTGTTTAACTTACTTTGTAAAATATATGTGGAGTTTGCCGTGTAATGGTTTTAAAAAGGCAGTGCTTGAGGAAATGTAGTTTATATTGATCAAGACTGTTAGAAGACAAAGATAAAGACAGAAGAGAAAGCATGAACACTTGTACGCTAATGAACGCCTATGTAAAACTGACTTGATTTCTGAATTAATATCAGAAACCAGTGTCTGTTAGAGAATGCCTCTAGAATCCGTGGTTTTTCTAGATTTTTAATTCAATCATTGTTGGCAGGTATACACTTCTATATATGGAGTTGTATCTGTGGATGACAAAAAGTTCATACACCTTTAAAATTTGTTATGAGAGATCATTTACCAGCTTGTTAAATGTGACAGTTAATTGGCATGGACATTGAGAACCACTATGGTTTAACTTTAAAACCTTGGCTTTTGTGTTCTGTTGATGTTGATACTAAAGTGACTCATGATTATTGGCCTTAAAAATACATAACAATCGCATGGAATAGAACTTAAAATAATCTTATATTAAGTTCTCATTCTGAGCATGTGCTAAAATGTCTTTATTATCACACTATCGAATAGAATTAGAAATCCAGAATACCTGTTTTGGGACATACCCAAGAAAATTGACTTCCAATTTTGAGAATAATTTCATTCCTGTTGGTATGGTCACTCTGAAGAGGTTCATGTTTTATATACTTAGGAATATTATACTCCGGTATATTGGTTAAGCATCTCCAAACCTTGATTTATTGTTTATCTATCTAAAGCTGACTTTTTACACATGAAAATTTTGGGTAGTTACTAGATTGTAGTGTCACAAACAATTTCATTCATAAAGGGAGAAAACAGAACTAGGAAAAAAAGGAAGCATTTAAGTTGGATTTTTTTTTTTAATTAGGCTTCAGATCCATTATTAGGTGTTACTATGTATTATGTTGAATGTTTCTGAATGAACTTTATGATTTAATTCTCATTTAACTTCAGATGTTTAGAGAATACATCATTTTCTCAAGTCATATATCTTATAAATTACAGGGCCACAGTTTGAGCCTAGGTCTTTTGAAGCCAAATTTTGGTGTTCTTTCCTGTGTATCACCTGCTGGAGACTTGAGCTTATTTTTGTTATTTTAAATTTTTATGTGTGTTTAATGATTCCAAAGCTGAATTGAGGCTATGTGATTAAACTGATGTGTATCTATTCTGTTGGGTTTAATAATATTCTTTTTTTAAACTTGGAGGTTCTATCCCAGAAACAAATTTGTGTTTGTAATTTCTCAAGTGCCTTCAAATATGTTCACTGTATGCCCTTTTCAGAACTCTAAGACAGAGAAATTGTAACCAATTTCACTATTGAGAAAAATGAGGCTTCTTGAGATTAAAGCTTGCCCAAGTCATAGGAGAAGATGGCAGCAGGGCCAGGCCAGGTTATTTGGCTGTCCCCAATAGCACATTTGCCAATGCCATCTATGTGGGCTTTTCCATTGGGTCACATTTCCTAAAATGTATGAAAATATGTTTTGATTTATTCAAATTGTCATCTTTTGGTTGAAATCAATCCATCTTCCACCAGAGAATATTTTTTCTCCAAACTCCATATTGACATAACTTTTTTTCTGAATTTCAGAATATTTAAATATACCCCTAAATTTCTAATCTATTCAGGAGAGATTATTTTGCAGAAACAATTTTCCTGCTACTTAAGATAACAAGACAGAGGAGAAAATGCTTTTCACTGTTACTAGGACAGGGAAAGCACAGTTAGTTATTCTTGCATTCTACCTTCTTTCATTGAAACTCAGTCTTTTGTTGAGTTTATGAAACTAACTGACATGTGGAAGTAGAGCAACACTGACCCATCATAGCATCAGAGCTGTCAAGCAGTCTTTCTCACTGTTTTTATAATGGATTATTACTTTAATGAAACTTCTTTGCATAATTGAAGAACATTATGATGTCTTCCTTGAGAAACTAGAGTCTTTATTTTAGTCTTCCCTCCATAATGTAACACAAATGTATTTGTTCTCAGTGATTCTGCACTTCAGGCTATGTAGGAGAATTATGTTTAGAAACTGTCCCTCCCCAACTCTTACTCACCTAGTTCCTTTACTGTATCATCATATTTAATTTTCTGGGCACCAGTTATGTTGCTGATAAATACATAGCTATAAAGTTTCTGAAAATTAGTTTCAAAGTGACTAGGACTTGCTTATTAATGAGGGTGTTGGTAATGAGGGACAAGGGAATATTTGAAAATGGAATGATAGCAAATTTTTTATAATCCACTATGCTTCCTACCTTTTTTTTTTTTTTTTTCATCGTAGTCACTACGTTTTTGAAACAAAGTTGGGACAGGTATTGGGGCATAGCAGGTTAAGCCACTGCTTGTGACATACGAACACCCCATGAATGAGTGCTTGGTTTGAGTCATGGCTATTGTGTTTCCCACCCAGCTTCCAGCAATTGAGTTTGGTCCGGTTGGAGTTCCTGGTTCTTGGCTTTGGTTTGACCTGGCCGCTGTGGCATCTAGGGAGTGAACCAGTGGATAGAGAATCTGTTTCCTTCATTCTCTGCACCGCCTCCCACGCCCAACACTTTTAAAGTAGATAATTAAATAATTTTTTTTTGTCATTCCCTTAAATGATCGGATAGCTTCTGTGAGGAGATGGCACTTGCTGCTAGTGTATACTTTTGTTACGTGAGACTGAAAGATTTTCTTAACTCTGTTCTGATTTTTTTTTTTTAATTTTTTTTATTTTTTTGACAGGCAGAGTGGACAGTGAGAGAGAGAGAGAGAGAGAGAAAGGTCTTCCTTTTTGCCGTTGGTTCACCCTCCAATGGCCGCCGCGGCCGGCGCGCTGCGGCCGGCGCACCGCGCTGATCCGATGGCAGGAGCCAGGAGCCAGGTGCTTTTCCTGGTCTCCCATGGGGTGCAGGGCCCAAGCACCTGGGCCGTCCTCCACTGCACTCCCTGGCCACAGCAGAGGGCTGGCCTGGAAGAGGGGCAACCGGGACAGAATCCGGCGCCCCGACCGGGACTAGAACCCGGTGTGCCGGCGCCGCTAGGCGGAGGATTAGCCTAGTGAGCCGCGGCGCCGGCCTCTGTTCTGATTTTAAGTGACTCTGAAGTGATCTGTTTCTACATTTTACATATAATTATTTCATTCTCTGCCTTCTGTTTGGAACATAAGAATTTGAATCTGTGTTACAATGAATTTTATAGATACCTAGGCCTTTTTTTTTTTAAGAGATAGTAGCTTTTTTTTAGTATTCCATAATTCCATAATGAGTTTTGAACTACCATTAACATGTAAAATAGTTTCTGGTGTTTTTGTGGAAAAAAATGTTGTCCTAATAACAGTATAACAGAATATTGACTAACATCTGTAAATTTTGTTTGTCTGTTTACATAGTTACTTTGAAGCATGGTGTTTGTAAAGCATCTTTACTTCAATTCATTTTTTTTAATTTTTGCTGTTTCACTTTTTCTTTTTTGCCTCATCTGTGTCTATTTTTAATCATCCTGGGAACTTCATTGTTTTCTCTACTCTCACATCTTTTTTTGTGTGTATTATTTCTCCTTCAGTAACCCTGGTACCATGTAAGTACTTAAACCAGTGTTTCATTTTGTAATTTTCATTATTGTCTCTGTAACTTTCCATCTTGCTTTCAACTTAACACCACCACCAAAATTTTTTTAGTATGTTTTCTTTGTAAGAATTCTTAAATAATGTTAAGGAGTGTAAGAAACATGTTTTACATGCCAGAGACTTCATTTGGATCCATGGGTCTGTTTAGAGGGCCCATGCTTTGTAATGGAAAAGCAAGCTAACTTTCACAAGGATATATAAGTATTATGGACAGTGTATACTCAGTTGGTGATGCAGTTTGCATGTCTGTCTTCAGTTAGGTTTTTTTTTTAAACTTTAAATAAACTTGCTAATTTTGAATGTCTATATTGCTTCCTCTTGAGAGTTGTTTGCACCCTGTTCCAAACACGTTTTAAAAAATAAAATCATTACAATTTTTCTCTTCTTTAGTCAGAGTGATCAGAGCCTAGAGTTTCATAACTAGAAAGCATTAAGTAAATGTTTAGAAACTTCATATTACTTAGGATAGGGCATTAGGCTGTGATAAATGATTCAGAAGTTATTAAGATGCACTACACTTTTATAAACATGCTGTGGCTAAAAATACTGCTTTAACTATTTTATTTTACTCTTGGTGCCTTAGCTTGACACTGTTCTATTTTTTTATAGACCGAACATTTTACAGGGGATAAAATAATCTGGTATTATAGTTGAAATTGTGATCATTTGAGAGTAAACTATACTCACTGACTACTTATAGAGAATTTTAAACTAGAAGTTTAATAGTTGAATATAAATTTTTAGTTACTTTCATAAGATAAAGAATTATCTGTTTTATATTTGCTGAAAGCCATGTGTTTGTAAAGCAATCCCTTTTCATAATTTTTAAAATTTTTGGTATTTTGAAAAAGTGATTTTGCTTAATATTAGGAAAAGGCCTTTTATATATTTCATTTCTAGAATCATAAAATATTACCATATGTTGTAACATATCTGCTCTGCTGTACATAAATATTATTGATTCTGGTCTATATACGCATACGACCCAGTCTTAGAACATGAATTACAATTGTTTTTCTAGTAATCACAAAAGAACATTTTATGGTCATACTGAGGATTGTCAAAAGTACTTTACATATATTATCTACATTCATTATTTACATATATTGTGTATTCCTCAGAACAACTTTTAAGACACTATTCTCATTTCTCAAAAGAGAAAACTGAAACTTAGAAAATTTAAGTGACTTGCCTGAAACACACTGAGTGGAGGAGGTAGTACTTGAAACCGTATTTGTCTGACTATAAAGTCAGTATTGTTCTGAAGTTCTCACTGTGCTTAGGAAGTTTTGATAGTGTATCTGTGAAAATGGCAGTGGTCACATGACATGCTGGTAAAACTGACTTTTGTAACTGTGAGTTAAACCTAGCAAATCTTGCCACCCACATCTGCCCACCGTTAGAAAGCATTCTTGCTACTCAGATTTGGAACAGTATTCAGTTATTCCAGACTCATGTTCCTTTTTTTTTTCTTTTGAAATTAATCTCATAGCCTGCAGAAACTTGCATTTGTCCTATTTTGAGGGGAGGAAAAGCAGGGAGTACTTACTGTGCTGAGTAGATCTTAATTTGAAGTGCTATATAAGATACACTGTAAAATCCTCAACATTTATGCTTTGTTAATAGAACAACGAATCTTCTCAGCACACTCAAGAGTTCTTGAATCTGCAGTTTACAAATCTCTACATATATTATCTGATTTAATCATTAGAACAATGCTACTTTTTATGTGGTGTTCTTGCTTTACAAATAAATGAAAAACCTGCGGCTCAGTGAAATTGACTTGTGTGAAACCACACGTCTGAAAAGTCATATAGCCCCAATATTTAAATCCTCTTTTGGATTTAAATAGCTTTATTTTCATAAATATTACACAGTTGTTCTTCAGTATGCCAATCTTATACAACAACTTTATTAAGAATATGGACATATGGAATATGTACATATGAATGAGAATACTGAAGGAAATAACACTGCTGATTCTTCCCAAAATTATGTTTGGAGTTGCTGGTTTAGCCAATACTAAACCTCTCTTGGTTCCCTAGCCTAGGGAAGATAGAATCATTTAATTTTGTGAAAGGCAGTGCATTCTAGCAGCATATCAGTATTTAATTGTGGTTGTATTTTTGTATCTATCTGTATTTGTATATCATATGATGAATTACCCAAACAACTTCAAATTGATTTTGACTGCTGTGGATTTTCCATTTTCTAGTTCTTTTTTTTTTCATATCCTTTTCCTTTCTTCTTCTTCATGTTGGGAAATCTTTCTCCTGCTGCCTTCTTCTGTCAATTAAAAGGAAAATCCCCCCTAAACGGTAATCTTTCTGTTAAATACATTCTTAGTATTATTTTATATTAACACTTTTTTTCTACTAATTTTTAAAAACTTACTATAGAAAATTTTTAAATTAATGTTGAATATATTGAGAAAGCCGGCTGCTCACTTAGAACTATTTATATTGATAATTAAATATATAATTTTTAAATAATCCTGTAGATAATATTTTAGCATTTTAATGTGATTTTTTTTTTCTCATCTCCAGTCCACCAAGAAAACACATTGTGGAGCGCAATACAGAGTTTTATCACATACCCACTCACAGTGATGCCAGCAAGAAGAGATTGATTGAGGATACTGAAGACTGGCGCCCAAGAACTGGTACAACTCAGTCCCGCTCCTTCCGCATCCTCGCCCAGATCACTGGGACTGAACACCGTAAGTGGACTTCTGGGGATCCTAGCAAATGAATGTTCTTTGCCACAAAGAGTAGCATTTCGACTGACTGAGAGTTATTGAAAACAAACCTAATTCAGTGTGCTTTTAAATTACAAGATGCGTAATATAGGTCTGATACATAAGATACCTATCCCCTAGAGTTATATTGGAAAGGGTAGAATTAATGATAGTGATGGTGGTGTTGGTGGTGGTAGTAGTAGTAGTAGTAGTAGCAGCAGCAGCAGTCCTGACTATAGTATGTAGCCAATAACAACATGGTATGGAATTTTTTTTAGTAGTTTAATGAAACTTAAAGATTTGATATTGATTGGTACAGCTTAATTAGTTTCATTATTGGAGCAAACTAACACTAGATATTGCTTAATATATTTCAGTGAAAGAATCTGAAGCTGATAATACAAAGAAGGCAAAGTAAGTTTTCTATCTTTCTCTAAATTGGATGTTTTCCTTTCATGAATGGTCTCAATTTTTTGTTTTTCAGTTTTCAAGTGTAATGGTACAGCTTTTTGTATGCAACTAGAAGCTGAGCTTTTAACCTTGGTGCCTTTAGTGTGACCTAAATGTACAACTTACAGATTTTCAAATTAAGAGATGTTGTCTGGGTTTTCCGTATATGGCTTATTTTCATTAGAACTGGAAAATGAAGTGGGCAAAAGAATGTGTTTTGGTGTGTTCTGCTAACAATACATACCTCTGTGAATGAGTTCATGTGCATCTTACCATCCCCTTATTTTGGGCATAAAAATTGATATTTCCAGGGAGGCTCTATAGATTAATTTCTGCATTTCTAAAAAACTGTCTATCTTTAAAATACTTGCTATTTTAATAAAAGAGCTGTATGAAATCCAGCTTTTTAAGGCATGTTTTCTGCATGATGGAATTAGTATAGAATTTTCGTTTCTTTTTCTCATTCTGCTCTATCACTCTTTTTTTTATTTCCACAGGGAAAAGATACCCCTTCACGTCTTTAGTCCCAAATACACAAAATTGCGTGACTGGCACCATGAAGTTTCAGCACGTGCTCTTAACGTGCAGTGATTTATGAGTCTTGTTCCCCAGACAGCCAGCACATACCTTTTCACTCACTTTCTCTCTTTTTTCAACTTCATAGTAAAATCTGTATTAAATTTGCTTTATGAAAAATAGAGCCTTTTCTATACTTTTCTAACCACTTACTACTGTTGTGAAAATGAGAAAGATGAACATGTTTTGTGCTAGTCAGGAGCTCACAAATGTAAAACTAAAGAAAAAATTAAGGGACTATATTCAGTGGATTTACATCTGTTTCCATTGTTATTGGGGCAGTAACCCTGGAAAAGGAATTATTATTGTATGTTGAATTTGGTTGGTTGGTTGTTTGAATCAGAAGGGGATGAGCAAATACTGTCCTTGCATAATTTGGAAACTACTTCCTTTATGTTCTTACATTTCCCCAAATTACTTTTAAGTTTGTTATTATGTAATGCTCAAAGTTGATTGTAAATTATTTTGAGTAAGCAGATGTGAGGAGGCAAGATTACACATGGAAGACTTTATTAGAGAATAGTTCCTTGTAGATTTAGCTGTCTCTTTAAGTAGATACTATTCAGGATGGCTGTATGAAGAAGAAAAGGCCCTGATTTGGCTCCAAAAGAAGGCAAGAAGAGAATTCTGCCCTTCTTTGCAGTGGGGGATATAGAATTTTTTTTTTGATTTGGTTAGATTCAGAAATGCTGTTTTCTACCAACAAATTTCTAAGCTGGTAGCTGTATTTAGGGTATAGAAAATTTCCAGGCGTTAACTAGTAAAATATAGAAAAGATGAGTTTGCTTTGTTTTTAACTCAGAGGAAAAGAACGTAAAGTAAATTGCGACATGAATGATTATGAGACATCAAAGAAGTATTTTTCTTGGTGATGTAAACTATTGTGCATTGCTGCTATTCCTAGGAAGCTGTTTTGGGCAATACATGGAAGCTAAATATCTGATCAGAAATGCTTTCTGCCTTGTAATATAATGTATTATAAATGAGATCTAAATTGAGTAATAAATGCATTTTGGAGTTTGAAAAAGTGTTGTAATAAAGTTATCTTTAACTTAGCTTTGTACCTGTTCTGGTTCCTCAAGGCTAGTAAAATAATGGTGCCATCCAGGACTTACTGTAGTATCACTTTATACAAAATAAATAATTCTAGTGACATTTCATTTGGAAAACATTTTTAATTTTTTAAATAAAATTTTATATTATTTGAAAGGCAGAGAGAAAGAGAGAGAGATATCTTCTCTCTGTGGTTCACTCCCTAAATACCCACAAAAGCCAAGGCTGGGTGAGGCCAAAGCCAGGAGTCAGGAACTCCATCCTGGTCTCCCATGTTGGTGGCATGAATCCAGGTACTTGAGCCATCATCAGCTGCTTCCCAGGCGCATTAGCTGGAAACTGCATTGAAATGGATATAGAATTGGATCCCAGGCACTCCAATGTGGGAAGCAAGTGTCCCAAGTTGTGACTTAACTCTGCACCATAATGCCTGCTGCCCCTGGAAAACATTTTTTTTTACAAGATTTATTTATTTATTTGAAAGGCAGAGTTACAGAGAGGCAGAGGCAGAGAGAAAGGTCTTCTCTCTGCTGGTTCACTCCCCAAGATGGCCGCAATGGCCAGAACAGTACCGATAAGAAGTCAGGAGCGAAGAGCTTCCTCTGGGTCCCCCATGCAGGTGCAAGAGCCCAAGGACTTGGGGCATCTTCCACTGCTTTCCCAGCCCACAGCAGAGAGCTGGATCAGAAGTGGAACAACCAGGACTTGAACCCGCACCCATATGGGATGCCAGCATGGCAGGCAGTGGCTTTACCTGCTACACTACAGTGCTGGCCTTGGAAAACTTTTTTTTTAAATTTGTGAGGTTACTAAAATATGAGTGTAAAACACAGCAAAGGCCCATCTTGATCTCTCCCTGACCACCTCAGCCTGGGTTTTATTTAATATGACACCCTAGGTAACACGTAAGATCAGGTAGACTACTATGGCACAGCATAGAATTTTTCTTTGTGTGAAGGTGATTTCCTGAAGAATCCTGCTGGCATTCCAAGATTCATATTTATTTTCCCAGGTGTCTTTCACTTCACTATCAAAATGGACTACCCACAACTGTCTGATAATTTGGAGAAAATGACGTTAGTTTCAGTTAATGATTGGTTACTATTTAAAATTTGGCCTGCAAAATGTAATGAAAAAGAAAAACAATTCTAGGATTTATCTATGCTCATTTCTACTGCATTTCATGATGTCTAAAATGTGTTTTATTCCATCAGTTTTCATTAGATACAGTAGGTTCTGCCAGCTTATGCTTTTATGGCCAAGACATCCCTCCCAGTTATAACTCTGCCTCTGGCCTCTGCAAGAAAATCTACTTTCTTAAACCAGGATATCCAATTTTCAGTTATCATTCCATGATCTCAGATGATGTCTAAAAGCAACATTAAATATAATAACAATAAGATGGTGTGGTAAACATAATATTTTCCATTAAGACCAGATTTCTAGATTAACTGCATAGTTGGTTGGAAAAACTACTAGAAAGAGTTTTAGACCAATAAAATAATTTTTCTCTAATATAGATGAGAGAACATGCTAGAACTTTATAACCTGAAATGGATGCACTTGAAAATAAAAATTTGATATCTTGCTTAAAGACAAAGCATTTCATATGTTATTGAAAAATATGACTTAGATAAATTTAATACTCCATACTTGAATATGTGGATAAATGTTCAGCCAGGACCACAGATGACATTCCATTTGACCCTGTTGGAAGTTCAATTCTGGAGCTCAACAAATCTCTCGGGACATCTTATATTCCTAGCTGAAAAGCCAGCCAAAAATTATAAAGGCTTCTTGGAAAAATATTGTTGTAAGCCTAGTGACCTAATTTATGACTTGTTTTTGTTTGTCTGTCTCATGCAGACTTTCTTTATCTCAAGCTTGTTTTTAATGTGACATTGGGAAGTTACTCTTAACAATTTTCCACATTGTTCATGGGAGAGGAAAGCAAGTATTGAATGGTGCAGTGCTAGCACGCAGGTCAGATGATCAGAGTGGCTGAAAGGTGAGATAGGAGGGAAAGCGCAATAGCATAGCATAATTCCTAGGCATAGAGGCAAATAACCTACATTCTCATCACTGTCCATAGCATTTTACCTGGGTAATTATTGTACTATATCTCATCACTTTTGAGTCAAATTACAAAATGAAGAACCAGGGAGGCTGGTCAACTTGCTAATAAAGTGCACATTGCACCTCTCATTCATGCCAGCCCTGATTATTATCAGTTTAATGTCTTTCCTACTGAAGACCTGGAAGCATATATGTAAGGAACAGAATGGGATGTCCACTGGAGCATACATAAAAGTCATATTTTTAAAAAAGATTTATGTATTTATTTGAAAGTCACAATTACAGAAGGAGAGACAGAGAGAGAAAGATTGTCCATCGTGTGGTTCACTCCCCAGATGGCCACAACAGCTGAGCATGGGCTGGGAGCCAGGAGCTTCATCCGAGTCTCCCACATGGATAGCAGGATCCCAAGCACTTGGACCATCCTCCATTGCTTTTCCCAGGCCATTAGCAGGGAGTTCGATCACAAGTGGATCAGCCAGGACACGAACTGGTGCCCATATGGATGCTGGCATTGCAGGGTACAGCTTTACCAGCTATGGCACAACACCAGCCCCCATAAAGCCAGATAAAAATAAAACTAGAATGTTAAAAATTAGACAAAACAATGATTTATTCATAATTTAGTGATTAATTTGAGAGCATAGTTTTCTCTCTATTAAAAAAAAAAACTGGCTAGAATTTTTTGGACTAGTTTCTTTTGCTTATCTTATTCAAGAAGATTCCTTACACCGAGTAAATAATCCCTTGATTATTCTTTTGAAAATAGGCAGAAGCTCTGGAAAGTGGAAAGATAAGGAATCGCAAGAAACAAGGAGTGTCAGTTCTCAGTTTTAGACTCAGATTTGTAATTACTACTCTCTGCCACTGAGTTTTCACTTCTTTAAAATATGTACTTAGCATCTGCTGGACACTGTAATTCTATACAGATACCACTTTGGTGGAGGGCTTGATACCGCCTCTGCTGGCGGTCAGCCGGCATGTGTCAGCCCCTTCACAAATTACCAGCTGCACCTCTCCCCACAAGCCACAGGCTTAGTGAAGATGCCTGCATTCGGTGAACTGACTCAGAGAGAAGAGGTGAAAAGCGTGGCCACTTCAGCCCCGCTGAGGACAACTTGGAAGGCCGTTCTAGCTTGGGAGCTGCTGTGTCATGGGCCGGGCCTGTCCTAAGTCCTGAGTAGCAACTGGACTTCTCCCTTCTGCCAACTCCTGCTCCTCGGCTTCTCTCTTTCACAGCTGTTGATCCTAGGGGCACTTTTTAGGAAGCATCCGCCATGCTAAACCAGTCTTGCAATCTGCTTTCTGGAGAACCTGATCTGCTGCAGAATTATAGTCTTAGATTTATAATTTGGGCCTCAGTTCAGCATGTTCCTTTTATTAATCTTTTTCTCTTTTCTTTGTCATTTCTCATCTCTTCTCCTTAAGTCTTCAACCCAGACCACAACCACACCATTTGGGGAAGTTTTAAAATAAAAGATTAGTTACTGGTGTATGGCAGTCAAAAGGAAGGTACACTCAGTTTTGTTTGCATCAAGTAAGGAGTATTTATTTGCTGATTGCATCAGAGGCAGCCCAGGAGTAGTGAGTAGATAAATGTATGTAAAAGTCAAATACAGTCAGCCGTATGAATACAGCATTGCAAGAGGAGCTTTAAAATGCAGCATTAGCATACAGTAAATGTAGTAAACACTTAAAGTGGGAAAGGAGCGCGTATAATATTACTGTGATTTGCCTGTTAGAATTTTCCATATGCAGTATTTTATAATCACATGTATTAGCCATGTAATCAGTCACTTAATAATCTTATTTGCTGTTTTCTTCATATCCTGAAAAGTTCATTTCCACTTCTCTCCCGGGGAAGGCGCTGCTTTGTGGCCTCTGAAAATGTGTAGGGTACTACGCAGAGATGATGAGGTCAGGAAGGGGCTGCTGGGGGCCAGGGAGATTAAATGCCTTGTAATATGCTGAATAATCCCGCGGAATGAAGAAGACTCATCCTGTTGAAAGTCCCAATGGCATGCTGCTAAGAATGTGCTGAGTGCAAATGCCATGGGAAATTTATTTAATCATCTTACAAATGTAGTGTGTGTGTATGTATGTATGTATTTATATATAATGCATCATTTTGTAAAGCACAGTACAATTTATTTTTAGTTAAAGATTACCTTTCTGGATCTCAACCATTTTTTAAGTTTCTACTGAATGGTAATATTAGTATGAATCTAATGCTTAGTTTTTAATTCTTACTGCCTCTATGATCTATTTACATAAGTATGAACCATTTTAATTTAGCAACAAAGGAACTAGGACATCATGAACAAGAACATACTTTTATCTGTTCTTTCTCTTCCTTGCTTAAGGAATGATAGGTTCTGATGTTTCACAGACTACGGTTATGAATTATAATGCATGATATGGCATTTTTGAAGAATTAAAATATTTACCAAGAGAGTAGTGACTGCTTTTCCCTCTAGTAGGAAAGCAGTTGAAACTCGGGTTACTAGCTACACTGTACAGTAGTGGAAAACCGTTAAGAGAAAAGATATCCTCTTCTACCCTGTCATAGAACTATAACATCTACCTGCTTGCTAGTTGAAGACCATAAGAATGACACTCTGGCACTGGAATAATAAATCTTCAGTTACTTCTGGAACAAGAACCTATCACCTTTGTTCAGTCATTGAAAATGTAGGAAGCAAACTGCATAAGTATTTCTAAACATACCCTTTCACAAACTTTTAAAATTTTAGTCCATTCATAGATATTCATATGACCCACATAAAATAGTTTAGGGAAAAAATCAGTTTGCTTACCTATCCTGTGTCTTCATTATTGATATGTATCACAAACATGCTAATCTTTTGTAGCTTATCCTTATGAAGACACATGTCTGTTGAGTATATTATGCAAAACTGCTGTTCTTCTTAAGCTATGCAAAGAGTGGAAAGTGTTCCCTTGCCTGATAGTCACACGTATTTTTGTGAAATAAAAAATAACAATTAGACTTTCTCCAGACCACAGAGCACCAAGGCTTCCATCATAGCATGGTGTGCTGATACCATCATAGGTATTACCACAGGATATGTTCACCAACCTGGAGAAGAGACTTCAGGTTAAAAAAATGGGTATAATCTCAAAATTTTGATTGATTGTAAATTACAGGGTGTTTATAATTGATCTCTTCATTGTCTGCTAGTGGATTTTAGCATTTTACACAGGGCCTGTTTTGGTGACTACAATGTAAAGGTCGCCATCTATTGGACATAAGTAATTACTGCACTCCATTTCCTTGTGAGGTGAGTGAAATAATGATGCAAGGAACAGAATTCCTGTGTATGTATTTTCACAAACAGATGGTTTAATTCTTTATTCCTGGAAATGCTTGCATATTTTTACAAAATTGAACTTGGAATATCACTACTTAAAAAGATCTTTGGCCGGCGCCGCGGCTCACTTGGCTAATCCTCTGCCTGCAGCGCCGGCACCCTGGGTTCTAGTCCCAGTTGGGGCGCTGGATTCTGTCTCGCTTGCTCCTCTTCCAGTCCAGCTCTGTGCTGTGGCCCGGGAGTGCAGTGGAGGATGGCCCAAGTGCTTGGGCCCTGCACCCGCATGGGAGACCAGGAGGAAGCTCCTGGCTCCTGGCTTCGGATTGTCACAGTACACCAGCCGTAGCAGCCATTTGGGGGGTGAACCAATGGAAAAGGAGGACCTTTCTCTCTCTCTCTCTCTAACTCTGCCTGTCAAAAACAATAAAAATAAAATTTTTATCCATAAAAATTGTATTTGTAATATACAAAGTTGACTTTTTAGTCCAGAATATGCACCAAGTTTCTGAGAAGCAAATTTTATCAGACCAGTGACCCTTCTGTTATGATGCTATTTGGATAAATTTTTTCCACTTCACCTTTACAGAAGTATATTATACAGTAAAATTATTATATTTACTTAAACCAGAAAATAAAAGTTGACCATCTTTACTAAATACAAATCAGTGTTGAAGAAGACTCCTGCAGTTTAGTTTGTCTGTTTCCCACAATGGAAATCACCACTTAGGAGAATTAGGAGCACTGGTAATCGGCCATCTACAACATGATGAAAGGCGCGATTTTCCATCTCAGCAGCTGTTCAGTTTTACACATTTCAGTCGCATTGAAGGCTCAAGAAGACCAAGTTCTACTTTTATGTTACTTGAAGCCTTGTGTATTTTGATGATATGATTTTATAAAAAAGGAACTAATATATTACATCATATAGCATAAAAACTATAACAGATAAAGATATTTAGACATCTTAATTTTCCTTTGCTTAGTAAAAATTAAGTGGTTCTGTATGCAAATTACATTTATCTTTTTTTTTTTTTTAAATATTTATTTGAGAGTCAGAGTTACAGACAGAGAGGGGGAGAGACAGAGACAAAGGTCTTGCATCCACTGGTACTCCCTAGAAGGCCACAGTGGCTGGAGCCGGGCTGATCCAAAGTATATAAAGTATGAAACAAAACAACTGGACAGCATTATTACAAGGAGGAAAATGTGAATAGCAGAAATTATGTGGTCAGGGCCGGCGCCACGGCTCACTAGGCTAATCCTCCGCCTTGCGGTGCCAGCACACCAGGTTCTACTCCCGGTTGGGGCGCCGGATTCTGTCCAGGTTGCTCCTCTTCCAGTCCAGCTCTCTGCTGTGGCCTGGGAAGGCAGTGGATGATGGCCCAAATCCTTGGGCCCTGCACCCGCATGGGAGACCAGGAGGAAGCACCTGGCTCCTAGCTTCGGATCGACACAGTGTGCCCGGTCATAGAGGCCATTTTTTTTTTGTCCAAGAAACCGGCACACCGGGTTCTAGTCCCTGTCGGGGCCGGATTCTGTCCCGGTTGCCCCTCTTCCAGGCCAGCTCTCTGCTGTGGCCAGGGAGTGCAGTGGAGGATGGCCCAAGTGCTTGAGCCCTGCAGCCCATGGGAGACCAGGATAAGTACCTGGCTCCTGCCATCGGATCAGCGCGGTGCGCCGGTTGCAGCGCGCCAGCCGTGGCGGCCATTGGAGGGTGAACCAATGGCAAAGGAAGACCTTTCTCTCTGTCTCTCTCTCTCACTGTCCACTCTGCCTGTCAAAAAAATAAATAAAAAAATTTAAAAAAAAAGAAATTATGTGGTCAGGAATGATTGTGAAATTAACAAATGCTCATTACTGAAAGACATAGACAAAGAGAAACAACCCAAACACAGAGATAAATACTGAAAAAGTTTCAGCTTATATACATCCTGGAGGGAGTTAAAATTCCAGGTAGAAGGTGATTCTAAATGATTCTGTCCAGTCTTTCTCAATGATTTACAGCTCAGAGTATTTAGAGAACTTACAGATGAGCTATGCTAAGTAACACTTTTTGCATTTTTTAAAAAATCCTGGAGAGTGGACAATAAAAACAGAAGCATGTAAAGAGGTAGATATAGAACTGATTTTTAAAAAAATAAAAAAATTAACTAGTTTGAACTTGAGGTCGCCTGGAAAAACATTTAAGAGGCATTTTTAAAAAAGGCCGGCGCCGTGGCTCACTAGGCTAATCCTCTGCCTTGTGGCGCCGGCACACGGGGTTCTAGTCCCGGTCGGGGCGCCGGATTCTGTCCTGGTTGCCCCTCTTGCAGGCCAGCTCTCTGCTGTGGCCAGGGAGTACAGTGGAGGATGGCCCGAGTACTTGGGCTCTGCACCCCATGGGAGACCAGGATAAGTACCTGGCTCCTGCCTTCGGATCAGCATGGTGCACGGGCCGCAGCGCGCCGGCCGTGGCAGCCGTTGGAGGGTGACCCAATGGCAAAAGGAAGACCTTTCTCTCTGTCTCTCTCTCACTGTCCACTCTGCTTGTCAAATAAATAAATAAATAAATAAAAAGGTTTTTATATTTATTTGAATGAGTTAGAGGGAGAAGCAGAGAAAGAGAGAACATCCATCTACTGGTTCATTCCCCAGATGGCCGCAACGGCCAGGGCTGAGCCAGGCTGAAGCCAGGAGTCAGGAGCTGCTTCCTGGTCTCCCACATGGGTAGCAGAATTCCAAGCACTTGGGCCATCTTCCACTGCTTTTCCCAGGCCATTAGCAGATTGCTGCATTGGAAGTGCAGCCAGGACATGAACTGATGCCAATATGTGATGTCAGTATTGTAGGCATTCATTACCCACTACACTAATGTTGGCCCTAGGAGACATTCTTAAAAGCATGGCTAATAAGCACTAGAAATGGAGAGCAGAATTTCCAAGACCCAGAGTAAGTTCTCAAGAAACAAATCACATCCAATTTAATACATGTAGGTAAAATGCTAATTCTGATGTCATTAAACAAAGACTCTTGGGGCTATTCATTGTGGTGTAGTGGGTAAAACTGCCAACTGCAGAGTCAGCATCCCACATGGGCACTGATTTGAGTCCCTGCTGCCCCACTTCCAATCCAGCTCCCTGCTCATGTGCCTCAGCAAAGCAGTGGATGATAATCCACGTCCTTGGGACCCTGCATCCACATGGGAGACCCGGAAGAAGCTCCTGGCTCCTAGATTCTGATCAGCTCAACTCCAGCCATTGCAGCCATTTGAAGAATGAACCAGTGGATAGAAGACCTCTCTCTGTGTGTCTCCTTCTCTCTGTCTGTAACTCTGTCTCCCAAATAAAATAAATATATAAATTTCTCTATATAATATATATGTCATATATATATATGTACATATATAAAGATTGATTTGAAAGGCAGAGTTGGTGGGTGGGGGAAGAGATATCTTCCATCTACTGATTCACTCCCTAAATGGCTACAATGGCCAGGGCTAGACCAGGTCAAAGCCAGCAGTGTGAAACTCCATCTAAGCCTTCTTTGTCAGTGGCAGGAGCCAAAGCACTTGGGCCATCTCCTTGTGCCCTCCCAGGCACATTAGTAGGGAACTGGACTACAAGCAGAGCAGCCAGAACTCAAACTGGAGTTCATATGGGATGCTGGCATCGCAGCTAATGGGTTAAGGTAGCCATTTAACCCATTGCACCACAACACCAACCCCTACAGGCTGTTATTTAAAGGCTTCATCTGTCACATGGATGAGCACCTCTACAACTTTCTGGCTAAATGAGTGGATATCATGAAGACAGCAGGTATGAAGGCATGTTTCATAACCAGATCATCTTTCAGAAATACATTGGGAGTTTAGAATAAGGGACAAAATATACTAAAAAAGAAAATTGGAATTTAATACGATTATGTGCATGTTCTAGGGAAATAAGGCTAGCAAAACCAAATATTTAAAAAAGAAATAAATGGAAATTTTAGAAGTAAACCCAGTTGGATTTAGTCATATCCTGTGGCTCCAAAAATAATAAAGGTGAGCAGTAATTCTATTCTGCATTAGTAAGTTGCACCTGGCACATTATGTTCCATCTTTGACATTGATCTCTAATTAATACATAGATAATCCTACAAAAATAAGACCATAAGACTGTCTTTGAGTATGAGACATTTTTATGAATAATATTACCTGATAATAAGGACTGGTTTCATGGCCTAAATTCATAGCTGTGTCTTTCTGTTTTTAAAGATTCTCCCTTAATTTCAGACGTCATGAATCAGCAGTGGCCCATGCACACGTTTAGTATATATTCTGTATGATAAAACTAACATGCTTATGAAATACTTACTGTGTGCCAGTCGCTCTTCAGGTGCAGGTTTATAGCAGAAGCAAGATGCTTTCATGGACTTGCAGTGAAGACTATATAGTTTTATTATAGTCCATCCTTTAACAAATAATATAGGGCCATGTGATGAATGTATGCGATGCAGGGAGGAGGAGGGCATGATCATTAGACACTAGTTAGGGGAAAGGAAGATACTTGACCTAAATCCTTGGGCACCTGCACCCATATGGGAGACCCAGAAGAAGATGCTGGCTCCTGGCTTCAGATCAGCTCAGCTCTGGCTGTTGCAGCCATTTGGGGAGAGAACCAGTGATGGAAGACCATTCTCTCCCTGTCTCTGTCTCTGTCTCTGTCTCTGTCTCTGTCTCTCTCTCTCTCTCTCTCTCTGTGTGTGTGTGTGTGTGTGTGTCTACCTCTCTCTGTAACTCTTTCAAATAAATAAAATAAATCTTTTTAAAAAGGAGAGGCCTCCAAAGACCTTTCAAATTAGAAAAAAAAAAAAAGAAGAAGAAGAAGAAGAAGAAGAAGGTACTAGAGCTGAAATGGGAATGTCTTAGGAATCAGTCATGTAGATATAAAGGAGATGTCCTCTCCAGGCAGAGGAAGCAGCATGTGCAGTGGCCCTGAGGCACAAATCAACTTGATGTTCCTGAGGAACCAAAAGAAAACTTTATTAGTGGAACATAGTAAATAAGGCCGAGAGTGATAAAGAGATTGAATGAAGAAGTCGTCAGGGGCCTGATCATTTATTGCTTTGTTAGTTTGTGTTAAGGAGTTTTAAGTGTCTTCTCTCAATTAAATGAAAGGCCTATATGGGATTTTTTTGGGAAAGTTTTATTTAATATAAATTTCATAGGTACAGCTTTTGGAATATAGCAGTTATTCCCCCATGCCTGTCCCCCAACCCCCAAACCATCCCACCTCCTACTCCCTCTCCCATTCCATTCTTCATTAAGATTCATTTTTAATTAGCTTTATATACAGAAGATCAACTCTATACTAAGTAAAGATTTTAACAGTTTGCACCTACACAGACACATAAAGTACTATTTGAAGGCAAGTTTTACCGTTAATTCTCATAGTACAACTCATTAAGGACAGAGGTCCTACATGTGGAACAAGTGAACAGAGATTCCTGTTGTTGATTTAACAATTGACACTCTTATTTATGATGTCAGTGATCACCTGAGGCTTGTCATGAGCTTCCAAGGCTATGGAAGCCTTTTGAGTCCACAAACTCTGTCAGTATTTAGGGCCATAAGCAAAATGGAAGTTCTCTCCTCCCTTCAGAGAAAAGTACATCCTTCTTTGATGGCCGCTCTTTCCACTGGGATCTCACTCACAAAGATCCTCCGTGTAGGTCATTTTTTCCCCGTAGATTCTTGGCTTTTCATGCCTGAAATGCTCTCATGGGCTTTTCAGCCAGATCTGAATGCCTTAAGTGCTGATTCTGAGGACAGAGTCCTATTTAGGGCATTTGCCATTCTGTGAGTCTGTTGTGTGGCCTGCTTCCCATGTTGGATCATTCTCTCCTTTTTAATTCTATCTACTGTTATTAGTAGACAATGGTCTTATTTATGTGATCCCTTTGACACTTATTCCTGTCTATATGATCAGTTACACATTTAATATGATCACTTTAACATGCAAGATGGCATTATACCTGCCAATTAAATGGAGTTTGGAATCTTTATGGGATTTTAATGATAAGATGGACATCTGGTTGGATTTTTTTTAAAGATTTATTTACTTGAAAGTCAAGAGTTTCAGAGAGGTTTTCCATCACTGATTCATTCCCCAAATGGCTCCAACAGCCTGGGCTGCGTCAGACTGAAGTCAGGAGCCAGGGTCCAGGAGCTTCATCTTGATCTCCCGCATGGGTACAGGGACCGAAGGACTTGGGCCATCCTCTTCTGCTTTTCCCAGGCACATCAACAGGGAGCTGAATAAAAGTGGAGCAGTCAGGACTCAAACTAGTGTCCATAGAGGATTCAGGCATTGCAGGCAGCGGCTTAACCCATTATGTCACAATGCCAGCCCTACCTTATTGTGTTTTTAAAGATTTTATTGAATGCTATGGAAAATTAATATGGGATATGAGAGAAAAGAAGGCATAGAATGATAGCTTCTTGTGAGTGATGGGGAATTGGTCAGATTAGGAGAAACATAAACATTTAAAAAAAAAAAATCAGACTCCAGGAGATGATGAATGACCCAAAGAATTTGCAGTTCTGGTTGTGGCAGGTAAACAGGTGGGGAGTAGGATGGGATTAAACCTCAGGATCTGGTAGAAGGAAATGGGCATAAGAGCATGAGCTCAGTGAAAGCAGGCAGTTCAAGTGGGCAGTGAACTATGGATGCCTCCCATGGAGTGAATGCCATGAGTGACTGACACTGCTCAGGACATGCAGTTCAGAATATTTACTGGAGAATATGTGGCCACTTAGTTGTTCTTCTCTAATGCTGGCAGAACACTCCCCAGAATTGGAGGTGCTTAGAGGCATCCTCAAGACACCCAACCTCTCCGAGGACGCAGAACAGGCATCTGTTGAAGAAAGGCATTCTGGCAGATCCACTTGTATGTTCAAAAAAATCACAGACTCAGTACCATTTATTAATGTGTTCTATCCTTTTTCACGCTGAATCTGAGAAAATACCTGTATCATAAATACTGTTTTCACAATACTAATGGGATGGACATTGTTGTGTATCAGAGGTTAGCTGCCATTTGCAATGCCCACATCCCAAGCCAGCTCAAGACCCAGCTCCTGTGCTTCCAATATCCAGCTTCCTGGTAAAGCATCGGAGGCACCAGATGGTATCTCAGGTGCCTGGGCCCCTGTCACCCATGTGGGAGACCCAGATGGATCTGGGTTTACAGCTTTGGCCTGGCCCAGCATGGCTATTAAGGGCATTTGGAAAGTGAACAAGTGGGGGAAGATATTCTCTCTCTCTCTTTCTCTCTCTCTCTCTCTTTCTCTTGCTCTGCCTTCTAAGTAGATGAAAAAGATAAGATTATATTAAAAATACTAAGTGGCAGGATTTTTTTTTAACCTTGTGGGAAAGGATCTGTTTTTTTGTTTGTTTGTTTGTTTGTTTAAAAGATTTGTTTTATCTATTTGAAAGAGTTACAGAGAGAGGTAGAGACAGAGAGAGAGGTCTTCCATCTGCTGGTTCACTCCCCAGATGGCCACAACGGCCAGAACTGTGCCAATCCAAAGCCAGGAGCTTCTTTTGGGTCACCCATGTGGGTGCAGGGGCCCAAGGATTTGGGCCATCTTCTCCTGCTTTCACAGGCCATAGCAGAGAGCTGGATTGGAAGAAGAGCAGCCAGGACTAGAACCAGTGCCCATATGAGATGCTGGTGCTTCAGGCCAGGGCTTTAACCAGCTGCGCCACAGCGCTGGCCCCAGGATCTATTTCTAACTAACAGAAACCTCTGAAATCGCTTGTAGGAATGATTCAGTGAAGATATTGGTGATGCCATGTGAAGAGGGAATAGGGTTGGTGGTGAATGCTGTGCAGTTACTGAGGGATTGTTCCAAGCGATTTTTAAGTTGCCAGCACACCTTGAAATACGGCTTCCTTTTATAGACATGGTAATAAATATCCATTCTTTACCTGTCCTATCCATAGATCAAATGTGGAGAACCTTTTTTCTGCCAAGGGCCATGTATATGATTATTTATTTATTTTTAAAGATTTATTTATTTTATTTGAAAATCAGTTACACAGAGAGAGAAGGAGAGGCAGAGAGAGAGAGAGAGAGAGAGAGAGAGGTCTTCCATCCACTGGTTCACTCCCCAGTTGACCGCAATGGCTGGTTTTGCACGAATTGGAAGCCAGGAGCCATGACTTCCTCCAGGTCTCCCACGTGAGTGCAGGGGCCCCAGGACTTGGGCCATCTTCTACTGCTTTCCCAGGCCACAGCAGAGAGCTGGATAGGAAGTGGAACAGCTAGGACTTGAACAAACGCCCATATCGATGCCAGCACTGCAAGAAGTGGCTTTACCCCCTACCCCACAGCACCGGCCCCTATATGTATATTTATAATGTCATTCTCAGGCCATGCAAAATTGTCAACTCAAAAATTAGCCTGTTAGATAGATTTATTGAATTTTGAGTCTGCCTTTGGTTTCCTTAGCAGGGTTCAACCAAATGATATTGTAGCCCACAGGCCAGCCACTTGTCACCGTGCTCTAGACCCCTAGAACATGTTCTCTATAGAGATCAAGGAATAGCATAGGCAACTGTAGAGTTCACAAAACAGTAAGTCTGCATACTTGATAATCATAAAATGTAATAGAGAAAGGCAGTATCAGAGAAATGTGTAAGAGTTAAGGCAGAGTCTGAAAGATGTGAGAAAACAAAATATACAAGAGAAAACTCTTCCCTCAACACAAAAGTCTTAGCGGTTGTGGGTGATGTGACAAGTATACCAGAGACTGGGCAGCAACAAACATTTACTTCTCACAGTTTAGGCAGCGGAAGTCCAGGAACAAGGCTTTGACAGAGTCCGAATTGGTTGAAGGTCTATTGCTTGGTTCATAGACAGCTGTCTTCTTATGTCCTCATATGGTGGAAAGGGCAAGGGAGCTCTCTGAGGCCTTTTAAAAAGGGAAGTAATCCCATTCAATACCTACCAGAGGCCCCACCTCCTAATACCATCACATTGGGCAGTTAGGATTTCAACATGTGAATATTGGTAGGGGACACCAACATGGGATATATAGCCACAGATGAGTTCTCTTTCCTTTAGTAATAGCTCTTTTTGGTTTCTTGTCTTTGCTTCTGCAAAATATAAACTCATAACCCTGCTTGCCCATATGCGAAAAAGCAAGGATGCCAGGACTTGCTGACTTCTAAATTCTCTTCAAGAGAATATATAAAATAAAGAATTAGCAGGCTCAAATAATGTTTTCACGCTGCTACAAAAGGACTGTTGAAATCAATAAATTTAGCTGTGATTAAGAATGCCAGAAATTTCCACCTGAGGTTTTGTTGATTTAATTTTCCAGAAAGGAGATCATTGTTACAAGTGAATGTACCATAATTTATTTGAGGAAGCCAGTAGAAGACACAGTTTTTCTAAAATACTAGCAATTTCCTTAGCTGAAATAAATAATCTTGCTATGCCACTGAACCCTATGAGAACAGAATTCAGCTGTGAATCCGATACATCTCAGTTTGTGCTTTAGCAATATTATTGCATGGAAGTTTGATTTGGGAAGGGTGAAAATACCAAGAAAGGTTTAGTGTTGTTTTTCTCCTTTGGCTACTATAAAAGACATATTTGAGGTTTGTGAATTTTTCCATTTATTGAAAACTTTTCTTGTGGGGACATACTAAATCATCCTGTTTGATCATTTTTATCATATTTATATGGAGGCTGGGAGGCATTTCAATTTTTTACTGGAGACTTATGACTTTTTATGCTGTAAAAGAAAGTTTCTGCCTTTTTTTTTCAAACGTTTCAAAAGTTTGTGTTTGTTGAGAATGTATGTCTATAGAGCTTGCATATATTTCCATCAACATTTGGGTGAGTGAAATTACCATTTCGAAGTTTTATTCCTTGATAGAGAGCTTTAACATCCTACAGCCTGAATTTTGTTCACTCCACTGAAGTTTTTTGTATCGCAGTTACCAATATAGTGGCTCCACTATAAACTAAATGTGGGGAGCAGGGCCCGTCTCCCATAACATGGCAGGGCCCATCGCCTGGAAGACAAATAAGTACTAAGACTGTGGACAAATAAATACTGAGGACAAATACTGAAATTACTAATTCTATGCATCTGATCTCCCACCATATGACGCTGAGAGGGAGTAAACAACTTCCACACAGCTGCCTCACCAATTCGACTAACAAGCTGCAGGAGCTGATCCTGCCCCTGAATGGAGGAGAGCAGCGTGCTCAGCGCGTGGGGATAGAACGCCAGCAGAGTTGGGATTGGTGGAAGAGGACTATAAAGGAGGAGAGAGACAACATGCAGGAGGAACATCTGAGGAACCCCTGAGAGAGCCGGCCAGCGGTGTGCCGCTCCTCCATGGAAGCGGGGGAAGCGGCGGGGATGCTGCCCCTCCGCGGAGGCCAGCGGGGGGGGGCGGGGGGAGCGGCAGCAAACCCGGGAAGGGCCGGGGAAAGAGAACAGTGCAGGGTCCGGTGTCCTTCCTCCGCGAGTGGGATAGCGACACTAAATTAATAACTTTAGCAAATTGCTGAAGAAATGTCACTGTCTTCAAGAGGTTTTCAAAACATTTGTGGAACCTGTGTATTATGAAAAAAACAGTGTACATGGATTTAAAAATAAAACTTATTTTTAGTTAAATTTTCCCACAAACTTTTTGAAGTACCCCTAAACATAAGATTATTAGTACTAAATATGATGATACCATGCACATACTAAATGATGGGAAAACATTTTATTATTAAAAATAAATTCAATTAGCCGGCGCCACGGCTCACTAGGCTAATCCTCCGCCTTGCGGCGCCAGCACACCAGGTTCTAGTCCCGGCCGGGGCACCAGATTCTGTCCCGGTTGCCCCTCTTCCAGGCCAGCTCTCTGCTGTGGCCGGGGAGTGTAGTGGAGGATGGCCCAGGTCCTTGGGCCCTGCACCCCATGGGAGACCAGGAGAAGCACCTGGCTCCTGGCTTCGGATCAGCGCGGTGCGCTGGCCGCAGCGCACTGGCCGCGGTGGCCATTGGAGGGTGAACCAACGGCAAAAGGAAGACCTTTCTCTCTGTCTCTCTCTCTCACTGTCCACTCTGCCTGTCAAAAAACAAAAAAACCAAAAACCAAAAAAAATCAATTGAATATTAATCTTAATGAAAGTAATATTGTCATTACTGGTGACTAAAAACCTGAATTATGGAAGAGCTTAGTTTTTGTTTAAGACATTTAAAAAGGTAGCCTAATATGCTTGGAATTTAGTGACTACAGCGATTATTAGTGTGGAAAGAAGCTTGAGAGGTAGATCCTAACAGGCCATTCAGGGTTTTACAGAGCATCTGGATTCTGGATATTATTCTAACTGCAGTGGGAATCCATTGCAAAGTTTCAATAAAAGAATTATGTGATAAAACATATTTTTGTTCTCTCAAGGCACTCTGGCTGTACTAGACCAGGCCAAGTAATACAGGGCTGGAAAGGACAGGATTGGGCAAGAGAGCAGTTAGATGATTCTTAAACTACTGATATAAGTTAGTGCCTTATAGTAGTGTAGATGAGAAAGAGCGGCAATTAATGGGGAAGGTAGATGGACTCATGTTCTAATTTGGGGGTCACATTATTGGTACTTGATAATGAATGGTTTGAGGTGGTGAGGGTGGCAGGTATTGGAGAGAGGTAAAGGGTTTTTTTTTTGTTTATCAGGTTTCTGGAAATTGTAATTTCATTAATTGGAAGAACATAATTGGGGAACATTTATTTTGGGAAAGATTAATTCACTTACATTATCAGACATTTATAAAAGTGATTAAAGTAGGCAGTTCAAAATGTGGGTTGCTGCTCATAGGAGAGAGAGAGGCTAGTTCTAAATCTAGGACATTGTATATCGATGGTATTTAAAGCAATAAGTGGGTAAGGTCACTGTTCCAAAGACAGCAGAATTCACGGAAATAATGTCTGAGACAGAAAACTGAAGGGAAATAGCCTGATAGCACTTAGACAGCATATATGGTGAGGCACAGAGAACAGGAGAAAGAGTGGCCAGCTGGGTCAGACGCTGAGACTCTTAAGTGACGAGTACACATGCTTACAGAAGTGTCTGAAGTAGCCAGATTCATAGAAATGGTAGGATGGTGGCTACCGGGGAAGCAGGAGAGGAGGAAAGGGGAGTTACTGTTTAATGAATACAGCAGTTCACATTCACAAGATGAAGAATTTCTGGAGACCTCTTTCATAATAATGTGAATGTACTTTACTGATATACTTCAAATGGTATATTTTTACATGTTTTTAAACAATGAGAAATGGAAATTGTCAATCAGATTTAGCTGCAAAGAGATCATTAGTGACTTGGCAAGAATATTTTTAATACTGGAGCATAAGGCCCAGTTGACGTGGTTGCAGAGTGACAGACAGGTGAATGTACAATTGTTTTGGAGTTTTACTGTAGAGAGGAATAAGAAAACAGAAAGTAAAGGTAGTTTGTTGTTGCTTTTAAGAGAAACTGTGGAGCATTTCTAAGTGGAGACTCAGAACATCCAGTACAGGAGAGATGAGTTATTTAAGAGAGAAAAGGGGGAAGAGAAAGTGTTCAGCATAAGGATGTTGCTTGCTGGCAATTGTCAGGACTGGAGGCTAGAAAGAAAATTCTCCTCATTGGTCCTGCATGATGGGAAGTTAGGAAAATGGACAGACTCATGCCTGATTGGCCAGGACAGATTATGAGCACGACTCTATATTGACAGGCATAGAAACCATGCAGAGACTGTACAGGGAAAGACACAATGCAGGAATAACTCTGATTGTTTTTCCTGAGCAAAGTGGGCCAAAAGGCTGCGAGCCCAACTCTGCAGACGTATCTGGGAACGAGAAAGCTTTCATACCTCTCTCTGGTGAGAAATGAAAACTCGCTTAAGCAACAGACACAACAGAAAGTTTGGCTGCTGCAAACATGCTATTAATCAGAGCTTCTTCCGACCCTCAAAGGAATGAATATTAGAGAAAGTCAGATTGAGAATAGATACTGAGGTCTGTTCCATGTTAAACAAGGTCATTTAAGATTTTGTCATAAGTCTAGTATTTTTAGAGATTGGCCAAGTAACAAATAGGTAATCAATGTGCATATGTGTAGCTCATGGGAAACCTCCCAAGTGCATTTGTTTGGAAACTTAGAAATCTGGCTTTTAAAGTATTTCCTGAATTATATGAACTTTAGTCTCAAGTGGCACTCAGGTTTTCCAATCAACACAGTTCATGGAGGTGTTAGAAGACTCAACTTTTCCAACTCTATTTTCTTTTTTAAAAAATCCTTCCTCCTTATATTTTAACACATATATTTTCATAATCTTTTATAACTATTTTCCTTATTCCTAAAATATGAACTCTTTATAGTGTAAAGAACATTGTTATTAAGGTAGTTTTGGAATTCTAGTCAGTTCTTTAAGGTTTATCATGTGTCCCACTTTAGATAGGCAATGGTGTCTATTTAGCCAGAGTTGTGAGCTAGTCTCAAGAAGGCACAAATATGTTTTAGGAAATACACAACTATTGTGAAAGCAATAATTGTTATTCATGCATTTATTCAATAAATATGTTTATTATTTATGGTAAGCACATATTATACTTTATTTATATTAATAAATATAATGGCTCCTAACCTCAGGGAGCTTCTTACTTGCCAAAGCAGTCTGCGTTTAAAAAAATAGCGATACAAATTGTACAATTACAATGACAACCACAACAGATTTTATGAAGAAAAAGTGCAGGACACTATGAAAGCATGTGGAAGGGGCAACCAAAAGTGGTCTGGGGAACCAAGGAGGCCTCCCTGAGGAGGTAGCATTTAAACTGAAGCCAGAAGGATACTTTAGCATTAGCTAGTGAAGGTGTGGTAGAAAGGAGGTTTACAAAATGAAAAGTCAGGCCGGTGCCATGGCTCACTAGGCTAATCCTCCGCCTGCAGCGCCAGCACCCCAGGTTCTAGTCCTGGTTAGGGCACCACTTCTGTCCTGGTTGCTCCTCTTCCAGTCCAGCTCTCTGCTGTGGCCCAGGGAGGCAGGGGAGGATGGCCCAGGTGCTTGGGCCCTGCACCCCATGGGAGACCAGGAGAAGTACCTGGCTCCTGCCTTCGGATCAGCGCAGTGGGCCTGCCGAGGCGGCTATTTGGGGGGTGAACCAAAGGAAGGAAGACCTTTCTCTCTGTCTCTGTCTCTAACTTTCTAACTCTGCCTGTCAAAAAAAAAAAAAAAAAAAGAGAGAGAGAGAGAGAGAGAGAAGTCATAGCCTCTGCAGAGCCTGTGAGGCGGGAAGAAGGGTGGTCTGGTTCCAAAAGAAGTGGAAGGCCAGATGGCCGCGAGCAAACCAGAGGTGGAAGAAGAGCTCCCTGAGATAATGCTGAGCAGCAGGTAGCCCAAGTCCCAGTTCTGCTTAAAGCGGTAATACAAGGTCTGCTGCAGCTGACATGATCAGATTTGCACCTTGAAAAGCTCACTCTGATAGCTGATGGAGAAACTGTTCTCTAGCACAGGAGTCAGCCAATATTTTCTTTTGAGGTCCAGTTAGTATGTTAAGTTTTGTGGAGCATATAGTGTGTTGTAACTACTCAATCCCTCATATAGTAAAAGTAGCCATGACATATGCAAAGTAATGAGTCTGGAGATGTGCCAATCAAACTTTATTTATGGAGCTGAAATATGGATTTTCTATAGTTGTCATGTGAAATTATATAAAATGTACTTAAAATTCTGTTCAACCACTTAAAAATATGAAAACCACTCAGCTCATAGGCCAATGAAAGATAGGAGTTGGGGCAAATTTGACCTGCAGGCCATATATTGTTCACCTGTGTTATAGAATTTTTTTTATTTTTTAAAAATGTTTTCTGTCTGCCTCTTAAATGATATTTTGATTCTGTGAAATTTTTTCATACAGTTTCTACATTTTTATTAAACATTTTGGTAAGATTATGACTAGTGCTAAATAAAAAAAGGGGATATAACCTCTGTTTTTGTATTTTTTCACCTTAATGTTACATTTCCAATTGAAAATCAGTTTTACATGACTGATTCATTTTTGTAGTCCTTTAAAAATGAGAATGATGATTTTGTATTTTTCAGTTTTTCTTCCTGAAATGCTTTCTTCTTTTAAATCAGATTCTGAGTTTTTCATCTTTTCTTTACCTCATAATAATTCTTCTAAACTATAATTCTGAAATCCTAAAGAAAAAAAAAAGTGTAGATATAGAAAAATAAAGTAAAAAAGTACTCACAGCACCACAGTTGCATACAACCAACCATCTGCTGTGTGATAGAATAAATTGCTTTGTCTACCTCAAGTTAAGCAAAATCCATATGGTTTCAGATCTACAGAAGCATCATTCTGATTTGAAGCGTTTGGTTGCTTTCATGCAGTGCACCATTTAGGCAACTGTACGCTGCCACAAGATGCTGGGAAATGTTATGTAATGGAAATACTACAGACAGACCTAGTCTAAACTCCCTCTGATCCTTACTAGATACATGGTATAGGCAACTTGATTTCTTAGAGCCTAAGTTTTAAAGCATTCAAAATACATGATCAGTAAATGGGAATTCCCCAATTTTTTCCCTTTTAAGTATAATCTTTTGTCACATGGAAGTAGCCATGTTGAAGGATTTGGGGAAACAAAGAGTGGCCCATATTTTGAGGCAGTAAGAGTGTTAACTTTGGTTTTAACCTTTTACAGGTAGGAAGAAAAATAACAGATATTCCCAAAAGTGTACAAAAGTGTATGTTTAAAAGGTGTTATAAATGATAAATGTTTTCTGTATTTTTCATTAACATTTTCTTTGCCTTGTCTGTTTTACTTCTGAAAACTTAGGTCTGACAGTTCTCTGGAAGACCTACCTAGGAGTGGACCTCACCCACCAGCAGCTCCTCAGGTGTCACATATTGGTAGCCACATAGCCACACTTTCTAAAGTAGCAACTACTCATTCTAGGTAGAGATCTTCCTTGTTGGCATGTCTACATTTCAGTGCTAGTGGTGAACTTAAATACTAAAACTGTTTGCAGAAGAAGTGACCATTGATTATGGAATTGATATCATTAACATACAGATAAGAAAGCTTGGCACTGAGCCTTGGAACACCACTCTACACTGCTTTTATATTAAATATATATGTGGTTTTTAACTTCTAACGTAGAATCAGGAAATCTGTGTCTCTTATTTATTCACTTTGTTATCTTCAAAGTCGTCTGTCTGAGTTTGTCCTAAGTCTGCTTTTCTGAATTAGAAGCTTTTGCCTCTTGAAAAAGAGCGAAAGGTTATAATATATTACTGGGTACCCAGACATAGAGTAAAGATATTCAAGAAAATAATTGTGCTTATAAGATTCTGCTGATACTAAATACTTTCATATTATTATTAAATATGGCACAATATGATGAATGAAATCCATTACAGTTCCTTTTCTCATTACTGGAGAAAATAATTTAGTTAATTTTACGGCTGGTTATTTTTAATAGACGAAGTTCCTGGTTCTCATTATTTGCCATTACTTCCCTCAGATAGTAACTGTTGCCCAAAGATGCAGCATGATTCAGGAACTCAGAAACTGAGTCGCTTGGTAGCTTTATTCCTCCCTCTGACACTCAGCATTTCCCTGCCGCTGTCTGCCACTGACAACATCTGTCTCTTCTCTTTCTACCCTTATTCTTTTCTAACCATTCACAACAATTGTTAAAACAGCCATGTAGTTCAATTTGATAGACTTGCAAGAAAAAATTACACATAAGGTTAAACATTCTGTGTGTGTGTGTGTGTGTATTTTAATGGCTTGCCGTTGTTTCTTTACTTTTCTTTCTGATGTTTTATAAAGTTATAGCCCATGGAACTAGGAAGTATGGCTTATCAAATTTTGACAGAGACTTATGCCAACACTCACAGGTTCAGACATTTGAGTTCTCATTAACCCGGGTTTAATTTATCACATAATTCTTTGTATTGGAGGTGGCCACTGTCACAAACTTCTAAAAAAGCAATCGTAATCTGGTGATGGTGGTGATGTTCATTAATTTATCTAACACCCACGAATGAAGAAGGGAAGACTACAAGTTTCACACTGTGCATTTTAGACTTTTTTATTTTCCTTATTAAGAGTAATTCTCAATGCCAATTTGATAATCAATCTGTGGGCCATTTAGTCCTAATGGCAGAATGCTTATTACTGTCCAAATGGCCTTTGCTAAAAGAACAAGGGGAAATCATTATTATTTTAAGTAGTAAAGGTTCTGAAGATGAAACTTTACCCCAGCTTTTAAAGGTCTTTACAGAGCTAAGTGAAAGTAGGAAAAAAGAACTCAACGGCAGGGGAGATGTTTTGGTCCCACTCATTATAACAGCTACTTGTTTTTGCAAAGATACCTGCCCTCCCTGAGTAGCTCAGCTCTCCATATTTTAGACGTGTTCACACTAATATGTACTGCTGCTTCTGAACAGGCAGTCAGTGTACCCTGAGAACACAAGTCTCATTAAAATGTCACACGGTCAGTGTATATCATCTCAAAAGTAAAAACCTCTTTATGTAGAGACTTTTTGGAAAAATGATCTTTTCATCCTTCTCTGCTTACAGAAATCCAAACTTCATGTTTAGATTCATTCTCTACTTAATGGTTGGCAAGTCAGTCTTCAAATGTATTATATGCTATTGATTTAAATAGGAATGGAGGGACAGTGAGCTTAAATACATTAAAAAGTGTATGTCGAAACTCAGTTTTACGCAGGATTATATATCAGATTTCAATGTTTGTGAGAAATCATAGCAATAGTAAATAAATGACCTGAACTTCTATTCTCCATCTGACATTTCACAGCTCTATAATGTGTAAATATTTGTATAAAATGGTTGCTGTCTTGTATATTTTATGCCACTTTTTCACACTTTCCTTTTTTGTTCCTCTTCTGTGTTTTTCTTTTCCTACTTACTCAGTTTAAGCAACTCCACAAGACACGTCCAAGGTTCTGTGGAAGGCTTTCGAAACGTTTCTCCCTTCTCTTCTGCTAGATATAGTGCTTCGGTTCTGAGCAGTGCAGTTGCCACTGTGTCTGCAGTCATTGCGGCCAAGACCAGGTAGAGCTACATGTGCAGCATCTGCGTGATGTGGTCCCTACACCCTTCACGGTCTTGCACGTTCCTCCAAGAAGACAATTGCCTGTGAGATCTCAGTTGTGTAGTGGATATTTTATCTCGGTTGTGGATAAAGCTCATAATGTTTGTTACCGATTTTTAAATTTCTTTTTTTTTTTTTTTTTTTTGACAGGCAGAGTGGACAGTGAGAGAGAGAGACAGAGAGAAAGGTCTTCCTTTTGCCGTTGGTTCACCCTCCAATGGCCGCCGCGGCCGGCGCGCTGCGGCCGGCGCACCGCGCTGATCCGATGGCAGGAGCCAGGAGCCAGGTGCTTTTCCTGGTCTCCCATGGGGTGCAGGGCCCAAGCACCTGGGCCATCCTCCACTGCACTCCCTGGCCACAGCAGAGGGCTGGCCTGGAAGAGGGGCAACCGGGACAGAATCCAGCACCCCGACCGGGACTAGAACCCGGTGTGCCGGCGCCGCTAGGCAGAGGATTAGCCTAGTGAGCCGCGGCGCCGGCCCGATTTTTAAATTTCTAAAAATTTTTTAAGCTTTATTTTCAGCTACTTGAAAGAGTGACAGAGCGAGCGAGAGGCAGTGAGAGAGCGAGAAAGAGAGAGAGAGAGAGAGAGATCATACATCTGCTGGTTCATTCCTCAAAAGCCTACAACAGCCAGATCTGGGGCAGGCCAAAGCTTGGAACTCCACCTGGTTCTCCCATGTTAGTGACAGGGGCCTAAGCACTTGAACCATTTTACACTGCCTCCCAAGACACAGCAGCAAGAAGTTGGATCTGAAGTAGAGTAGCAAGGACTCAAACCATCACCCAGTATAAGATGCAGGCATCACAAATAGCAGTTATTCACTGCACCACAATGCCCACCCCAGTTTTTTTTTTTAAATCATATCTCTCTCTCTCTCTCTCTCTCTCTCTCTGTTGCTGCCATTTATGTCTGATATTTATCAGTTGTATGGATTATTATTGCACATAAAATGGACTTACGATGGGTATTTTATAATTTTTTAAAATGGGATTTATTTATATATTTATTTGAAAAACAGAGTTACAGGGCAGGGAGGGGAGAGATCTTCCATCCACTAGTTCACTCCCAGAATGGCCTCGACAACAGCTGGGGCCGGGCCAGGCTGAAAAAGCCAGGAGTCTGGAATTCCATCCAGGTCTCGCATCTGGGTGGCAAGCACTTGGACCATCTTCTGCTGCTAGCCCAGGCACATTAGCAGGGAGCTGTATTGGATGCAGCCGGGACTCAAGCCTGAGCCCCTGTGGGATACTGGTACCAGAGGCTGCAGCTTAACCTACTGCACCGCAACAGCTGCCCCAATTTTCAGCTTTTCTGTTTCAAGCAGAGTCAAGTATAAATAGATATTTGAATTTGTGTTGATTTTATCTTCTTTCCCACAACCAGGTGATTGAGAGCCTGGCTGCTCTCTGAATCACTCCTACTGCCAACAAATAAAATTGTAATTTTTGTTGTATATGATTCATATTATCTTTATGCATATAAATGCTTCCTAAAAGACTGCCTTGCCAGTTTTGCTGAAAATTAAATGTTTCATATTAATTAATAAAGTTACCTCATAAACTTTGAGGTTTTTTTTTTTCCACTTCCTTGTCTTTCAGTGATTTGAGTGTTTTCTTTCTCCTTCCCTGTACCCCCTCACTCTCAAGGGAAATGCTTCAAATCATACACCTGAAGAACTACCATCTGCTATTGGTAGTACAATTTTTGACCTAAAATTCTTTCTAAATGCTTGCCAGGCTGTCCAGTTGTGAAAAACACCACCCTCTCCTGGATGCACTTTGCATCAGCCCTATTCCCCAGCCATTAGCGTTTTCCTATCTCCAGCCTTCCAGGACATCAGCTGGCTCTATCCATGTTAAGAAAACAAGGTACAGTGCAAACACAACTGGCAAGTGGTGGATTGCTGTTAAGTTTATGGCCTTCTCCTAACACTTAACCACCAATTAGCAGGGCACATGAGAAAACCATAGAGTTGATTTTTGCCCAGTTTTGAATTAACTGTAATTTCAGTGCAATATGAATGCAGAAGCATGTTACTTTGTGTGATTATTAACCCACCTTTTCAACTTTCTGTGACATCTTTCATTATCATAGTTGATAAATATAATTAGGGAGTTATAACTATACAAATGCTTAAATTATAATAGGATATTCAATTACATGGATATTGCTATATTAGAACAGTCAAATGTTTAGTAAATATACCACATCTTTTGAAAACATGAAAAAGAATAATAAAATAATCCATTTTTATTGGGTACTAACCTGTAATTATTAACTATAAAACTTTTGCTTAGACATTCAACTTCATTTTCACTTTATGTGGGAAATACTAAAACCCTCATATTAATTTTTCTACTAAATATAAATACTAGGCAAAAAATTATTAGGCATAATATAAAAAATAAAAACATCACAGATGTTTACTATAAGTGTAATGTCAATGAAATAATACTTTTAATAGAACATAGAATCAATGGCAGAGTGTATAACTGTAACTATAATTAGTAAAGTCTAGCATACGTAGACTGTCCATGAAGCAACTGTTTATATCATACCCATTTTTTATGGAGAATTTCAGTATACCTAATTGTAATTATGGTCGTATTTTAAGGGAAGAGTTCAAATGGAGGAATAAAAATTGTAGTACATTTTGCTCTAAAAAATAATATCTGTAATTATATTTATATTTGAAGAATTGTGTTAAATGAGCACAGATCTTTCATCATCAGGGTTAAGTTGTATAGCAGTGGGTTACTGACTGAGTATTTGACTACAGTTGAACTGCCCTTTGAGAACTTAAGGGATTCAGTAGATCCTTTACCTGGGAAAGTGGTCATTTTCATATACCTAGAAGTCTCTGTGTGGTTATGGACTGTGGGCCCACTTCTAGAGCAAGTATTAGCCGTCATTACCATTGCTTTTTGTTAACAGCAGTAGGGGCACAGATAAAAAATACTTTTTTTGTATGCGAGGAAGTACCATGGTTCCCATCAAGATAGGCTGATGGGCATTGTGTAAAGCATGGGTAAGGGATTTCCTGAGAAGATTCTTGCTCACTTAGCAGGATACTGAAAAGAGCAGATGGCAGGGTCTCAGAAACACTTTACCTCTGAAATTTTGCTTTTGTATGATTTAAAATTATACATGTTGTTTAACACCAAACTAGTTTCTTTCCATTATAATATATTTCATTTCTTTCCATTATAATATATTTGAATTTTGGTGTAGAAAAATGTGAACTAAACATTTTTGCTTGGAAAAATTAAAATATTTTCTTATAAACAAGAATTATGGAAGGAAGATCTCTCATGATCCCTCTGTAAGTCCAGGTCTTGAGTTCTGAAGGAAGAATTCTAGAATATAAAATGTTCATAATTAATGCCCTAGTGCAATATTTCCTCCCACCATTTCAACAACTGCCTATTGATGTATGATTTTGGATAAGACTTTCATGAAAAACTGCTTAGCTTAAACATTGATAATTAAACCTGTGATGTACAGTTAGCTTTTTCTCTATTTAATCAGGCAATTAAAATAAAAGTTATTGTCAAGAGTGTTCTTCAAGCACGGTTTCCCCTTTGAAAACAGACTTAAAATTTCTGACCATTCCCAGTCTGTAACTGAACTTTGTTGTAATAGTTTAACAAATGTGGGAAAGGAATGTAAACTCAAGATAAATCAGATTGCTGACCCTGAAAGTTAACTTTCTTTCCTTTTTCTTTTTTCCTCATTACTTGGTTCTGAAAAGAAACCTTTGCTCCTTTATTATATTTTTTTTCCTACTTTCAATTTTTTAAATATGAAGCAAAAATCTTGGTATTCTTGAGCTAGAAGTTATATTAAATTATTGTTTCATTTCAGTGTTTGTTTTTATTTGGCAGACTACTTGAAAATGACCATAGTTGATTCTCAGCATCTGTGCTTAGCCAAGGGTGTTTTTTAATTCACATTAATTTCCTCATTATAATCCTTTAGAAAGCATTTAAAAATTTAGGTACAATTTGAATCATAAGTTCAGAAATAAGACAGTAATTTAATTTAAATAGAAATGTGGTACTATATTAATAAATTACTCACTAATTTTAGAATATTTGGCTGCTAGTAATTATTGCTAATATTCTATTCCTAAGTATAAAGTAATATAGCCAATGATTTTATTAATGTTCATCTTTAGTGCATGTTACCTAATGTGTGCATTTTCTTTAGTAACTAGTAGTTAAAAATCAGGGGAAAAGATATTAGATTTTTAGAGTCTTAGGCATATATTTAGACAAATGATTGTCTAGATAAAGTCTTATTCTTCCATTACTACATTAAATACTTTAAGTAAATAGGATTCTGTTTCCCCAGAGAAAATTGAACTTCCACACAGTTAATGAATGCCACAAATTATAAGGAGTGTCTCTACTTCTAGAAGCCTGAGTGATTAAATATGTTAAGTTATCTTAACATGGAACACAGTGCAAGATGGGTCTTATTGTTATTTATGTTATTAATGATGGATAGGATTTGATGCAGACAGAGGAGAGAGGTGTCTACAGTGTAGACCTTGGGAAAAATATAGAAGTGTGGACAGTACAGGTGGCTAGAATACCATTTGTATACTGATAGTAAATAGGCTTAGACTTGTAGGTTGTAGCTTTATCATAGAACACTTGGAATGTCATGCCGAAGTGTAACTTAGCCTTCTACCTTCTAAATGATTGAGTCCATTTAGCATTTCTGTCCACTACTTAAGTAACTTCTGTTGACTGGGCTCTCATGTTAGGAATGGATTCTTTTTCCTTGATATGATTTTTAATGTTAGAAAGTACTTCCTTTTATTTTTACAAAATCTGTGTCAGTATACATTCAGCTAATTGACAAACACTGTAGGCACTGAGAATAAATCCACATGTCAGATATTTGCAGATTCCTGTCATGCTTCTACTAAGTCTTTTTCGTATCCTGGGCTAGGATCACCAGATCCCTTAACTGAAGTTCATTAGGCTTGGCATTGAATTCCTATCATCCTTGTCACTCTCTTCTAAGTAAATTTGTCTGGCACTCCTCCTGGAATTAAATGTTAATTCTTTCAGAGTACTAAACATTTGTTGTTGTTTTCAGATTATGTTTTTGCTTCATTTATAACCTCTAATATTACATAGTCATTTTCTTATAACCATGACAATATGAATTATTAGTTATTTTAATCAACTCCATATGAGTAATTTAATTCTAGAATGAAAATGACCTGTAGATAAGTATTTAAAATTTTTTCTTAATTTATTAATTATGTTATTGTTAATACACTATATAATTTATGCAGAGCACTTTTGCCTCATTATGATACCTAAAGTGTTACAGAAATCTTACAAGTAAAGTAGTATCCTCATTCAAAGTGTATGTTACTGAGGCATAGAGAAGTAAAATAATTTGTTCATCACAAAGCTTTGAAAAGATGCTCATGACCACTATACTAGAATGTTGAATCTCTGTTCCCATTAACGCTTTGTGTGTGTGTGATACCTTTACCAACTAATTGTGTTCGAAATTCCCATTAACTAAACAGTCTTCCACTTTTTATTTATGACAAAAAATTATTAAAGTGCTTAAATTTGTCCTTGTGTAGTATGTGTCAACACCAAGCAGCTTTTTAGTACTTCATTAAAAATGATCAGAAATAATAGAAGAAAGTGGTGGTTCTGTTACACTTGAATTTGAGAGAACAAAGAGGAAGGAACAACATCGATGTAAGTTAAAGTATGTCTAAAAGAGTTTTTTAAACTGTTTAGTGTCTGAAGTGCTTCAGGAACTCTGCCAGGTTTGATATTTCACTAGAAAGACTTACAGGATTCAGCATATAGATCTACTCATGACTAAGGTTTATTACAGTGAAAATACAGAGCAAAACCAGCAAAGGAAAAAGTTCATGAGACCAAGTCTGGAAGAAAGGACCCTCAAGCTACCAAAGTCCTCTCCCAGTAGAGCCATACAGGATGTGCTTAATTCCTCCAGCAAGGCAGAGGAAAATGTACAAAATATGCAAAGTGATGACTACCACAGATGCTCATTAGGGACCAAGTATCCAAGATTTTCATCTAGAGCTTTGTTACATAGCACCCTGACCCAGTTCATACCAGAATTCCAGATGCTAAGGAGGAAAGAAGAGTTGGGCATAGAGCATATTGTTTGCATAAGCAGAATAGGCATAGCAAGCCTCCTTTTCATTTAGAGAAAGTTTTCTCTCCTGGAAGGAACATCTTAGCAGCCGTATGCCAGATTCCAGTGAAGCACTAACCTTGCAGGTGGTTTTTTCCTGCAAGGGTAGGCAGTCTCAAGCCTACTGTGTTAGGTGTTATCTGAGATTTAACAGGCATTGGAGGATTTAGATACTCTTGTTCATTTGGTAATAATAGTAGACATGATTGAACTTGAAATTTCTCAAAAGTACAATTAAGGGTAGTTATTTTACTGAAGTCATTAATATGGTTGCATATCCATCTATTCCTCCAGCTGTTAATTTCAGTTACTGAAGGAATTGAGCTCCTATGCATGGAGTTACTTCTGCAACTAATATGAAGAGTTAAAGTATTAGGGACTTGTAAAATTATTGCTATCAATGTTTTATTATATTTCATTTGAGAGAAATAACTACTGCCATGTCATTCTGAATCATATATTTTATATTTTGGGCAATCTTAAATTATTGTTATTTTTAGAAATTACACATATATATAAAATTATGAGTAACAAATGATGTGGTATTAATGGTCATGTGATCATCTTGCTTACTAAACTGGAACCAGAACAAATAAGGCCTCCTGTCAAGCAGATAACTCTGCTTGAGAGAAGATAATGGTGGTGTTTTCTTTTTTTTCCTGTAGTATGAAATCAGAACACTGGGTGTTCTATTAGGTAGGTGATGTTGTCTCTTTTCAGTGGAGGACAACATGTGGCCAGTAAATAGCACAAGGTCTGA